CCAGCAGCTTGGCCAGATCACAGACTCTATGACGAAGCTATGCTGGTGGGTAGATTTGCCCAAGTACCCAACACGCAGGCCGGATTTCACAGGTCAAAACTGACCGATATTGCTATTTGCTGTTCAGCTAGAACCGCAGATGATCAGGGTGAAAGCGCTGCCAGTCAATCAATGCCAGATTGCCTTAGCACGTTTCGAGCAGGAGGTATTTCAACGCGTGCTGAGGTGCATGCAGCGCGTTCATGTTGCTTTCCGAGCTTGCTCGGTTTCGTCGGCAAGCTCAGTCAGACGAGGAGCTCGATGATGAAGCCATGCGGTGCGTAAGCTTCCCGGATCACCCAAAGTGATGCGGACTTAATTTTCACGGGCCCGAACTGACCGATGTTTTGATCTCCAGTCGAATAACCGGAGCGAAGGTGCTGCCAGCCGAGAAAGTTTGGTTTGGACACTTCCTTCGGCCTCTCTGGCAAGTTCATGACACCTTCCAAGCTTGCTCGGTTTCGTCGAGCTGCTCGGACTTGTGGTTGACTATGAAGCCACGCCTGACCTGCAAGCCCGGCCAACCATTTGCGAACAATTCGTCTCCAACAGCCTCTGCTCAAAGGCTGGGGTCTTCGCAGTGAGGAATAGTTGTGCCAGGGGCAGGTGCAGCAGGTGCAGCTCTAGATGGCTACTTGGGTTCCCAGGGTAGCGATTTCACGGGACCCAACTGACCGAGGGTGATCTGCAGCTCCAGTCTGATCAAACCGGTCTGCCAGTAGCGGGTATCCCCTTTGTTGAGTTCTGTGACGCCCTCAGAAGTAGGCGGCAGACATCTCTTAAATTCTCGCCGTTGCTTTGCACGCTGCCCTCAGACGTAGGAGACTTGGCCGAGCTGTTCTGGTAGCTTAGTATACTGCGTCTGATCTTTGATGCTGTGAGTCATCGGCAAGGTTTGCGGTCATTGCGTGCGAGCGTGAGCAGCGCGAGCATGCTTTCCGAAGGCTTGGCCTCAAGCCCTGAGGTACTTCTGGCTCATTGCACCTTCCGAGCTCGGTCTGGCCAGCAAGATGAGCCAAAACAAGGACGGTAGGCTGACGTAGCCTGCCCGCCATCACCGAAAGCACAGTCGTACGTGTGTGCTCTGGCACTCTACCAATATTGTTTTTCTTTTTAACCAGGGACCTCCAGGGTCCCGTGCCTGGTACTCGTGAGTTGCGTCCGGATGTCAAGATATCAAGGCAAGTCTGTGGCGCCCCTCGTGGGTCATTGTGGGTCCTTGGGCACCAAGGGAACACCCGGATCCGTGTTGCGTGATGAGCCAGGGGAATCAAGCCACCTCGAAGTCAGGTGTGTTGATTCCTCTACGGATGCAGAGCAGCTTTCCATGTCCGCCCCGCTCTGCCTACCTCGTACTCGAGCGTTAACTGCTTGTCGCGTGGGCGCGGCAGACGCAGCGTAGCAACTGTGACGGCTAGCAGTCGCTGCCGTGCAAGATGCATTCCATCAGCCCTCCGGCCTCTGCACGGAGCCCGTCATGTGACAATGGAGCCTTTTGAAGCTACCAAGTCTGTTCCTGTAGGGTCTGCCTGTTCATTCGGATGCTTCTTTGGTTGTTGTCGTTGCGAGCAGCCGCTTGTCGCCGGAACGATGCCGGCAGGGGAGCAGAGTGGACCTGGCTTGTGCCCTGTGGCAGCTGTGGCAGCACGGATGCGCCTTCCAAGACCCTGGAGGATCGGCAAAGTAGATCCTCCTTTGCATTCATGAGGTTCGCTACAGTAAAGGCAGCTCTATGCTCCTTGGATGCTCTGTGTTTGGGCATAGTGGCACTGGAGCCAGGCTGGCATGGTGTGACACCGCAACCTTCGCTAATTCGAACAGCCCCGCGCAGTTCCACTCGACGCGCGCTATCGCGAACTCTCGACACCAGCCATGAAACCCGACCTCTGAGCCTCTGAGCCGTTGAGCCCAGTAGAACTGCAGGTGGGTCAGCTCAGCACGGCTCTTGCTACTTGATGGTAGGACCGCAGTGTAGCAGTGTCTTTCTCTTTCAGTCCCTACTTCACCGTGTCACGCACCCCTGACTCCATTCTGATGGCTCGCCCGTATGCTGGGTGTGCTGGTGCCGCTCTGTGTAGCTGAGGCCCACTTCCGTGTCGTTTGTGTGAAGGTGCACGAGGCTCCGGCGTCGCGGCAGCACGGCAGCCCGGAGTTCGGGTTCCTGGTCGAGAGAGCAAGGCAAGCAAGGGGCTTGGAATCCTTCGCAACCTGACAGGGCTCGCGGAGAGTGCAGAGGACTCTGCCTGGATCCTGGCACGGAGTTGTGCATGGGATGCTTGCCCAGATATGTGCGCTTGCGCGCTGGTCTCATGTGAAGCCACTGACAAATGGTCGGGCACTTGCTGAAGGCGGTTGCAAGCACCGCCAGGAAAGCAGAGACCTCCCGTAGCGCCGTAGCTGCAAAGCACCTGGGCAGGCGCTTTTCCCTTGCGACTCTTGGCAACTTTCAGCCTGGTCGTTCTAGCTGCCCAGTGTCCAGCAACTTGCTGACGGACATGCAGCTTGGGGAACCTTGACCTCCGCCTACCTCATGAAGGCAGTGAAGGCAGTGGTTGTGGTGACCTCCTGCTCCGGATGGACAAGCCGATGTTAGGAAGAGTGAGTCATGGTCTCAGTTCTGCAGGTCGCAGATTTAGGCTAAGCTAACGCACGCACATGTCTGCAAGCTGCTTCAACTCAGCAGGCACAGCCTGGCACGTCCGGGACCAATCCCCCCTGCGGCTCACATGCGCATCTCTTGTAGCACTGTAGGCCGTGCTCTACCATGAGCTTGTCCCAACTAGCTGATGCTGCCATTGCAGATGCAAGAGCCAAAGCTACATGACAAAGGTCCTTTCGCCGGTTTCGGAACTTTGGCGAGACTGGAGCAAGCTCCTCCTCGTGCCGCCGAGGATCTGCGCTTTCCATTGAACGCATGCGGCGTGTCTTTTAGGCTAAGCTAACGCACGCACATGTCTGCAAGCTGCTTCAACTCAGCAGGCACAGCCTGGCACGTCCGGGACCAATCCCCCCTGCGGCTCACATGCGCATCTCTTGTAGCACTGTAGGCCGTGCTCTACCATGAGCTTGTCCCAACTAGCTGATGCTGCCATTGCAGATGCAAGAGCCAAAGCTACATGACAAAGGTCCTTTCGCCGGTTTCGGAACTTTGGCGAGACTGGAGCAAGCTCCTCCTCGTGCCGCCGAGGATCTGCGCTTTCCATTGAACGCATGCGGCGTGTCTTTTAGGCTAAGCTAACGCACGCACATGTCTGCAAGCTGCTTCAACTCAGCAGGCACAGCCTGGCACGTCCGGGACCAATCCCCCCTGCGGCTCACATGCACATCTCCTGTGGCACTGTAGGCCGTGCTCTACCATGAACTTGTCCCAACTAGCTGATGCTGCCATTGCAGATGCAAGAGCCAAAGCTAACATGACAAAGGTCCTTTCGCCTGTTTCGGAACTTTGGCGAGACTGGAGCAAGCTCCTCCTCGTGCCGCCGAGGATCTGCGCTTTCCATCGAACGCATGCTGCGTGTCGTTTAGGCTAGGCTAACGCACGCACATGTCTGCAAGCTGCTTCAACTCAGCAGGCACAGCCTGGCACGTCCGGGACCAATCCCCCCTGCGGCTCATATGCACATCTCTTGTAGCACTGAAGGCCGTGCTCTACCATGAACTTGTCCCAACTAGCTGATGCTGCCATTGTAGATGCAAGAGCCAAAGCTAACAAGACAAATGTCCCTTCGCCAGTTTCGGAACTTTGGCGAGACTGGAGCAAGCTCCTCCTCGTGGCCGCCGAGGATCTGCGCCTTCCATCGAACGCATGCTGCGTGTCTTCCGACCGACAGTGAGATCAGGATTTGCCACAGGAACAGCTGGGCGTGCTTAAACCAGTTCTTTGGGTTCTCCTCAAGAGACCCTGCCCAGCCACTTGTCTACCTGACCTGGAGGATGTCACGAAGGCTGGGATTCTGAAGGCCGCACACTGCCATGGCGGGAAAAGGTCCATCCGAAGGCGGCGATGGCGACCGCAAGCAATTGTTTGAAGCGGACTGCAGCTCTGCTCAGCCCGGGCAGCCGCTAAGAGAAGGTGCCGTCCAAGTCTCGTCTTGATTCTGTTGAAGCATCTTGAGTCGCCAATCGGCGGCCCTGTTTACGGGACTCGTGCCCGTGTGCTGGCCAAGGTGGCGTCTCAAGGCTGCGACGCAGTGACGCTTCGAAACGGAGCCTGCGCCCCCGATCCGAGCTGCGCACGCACGGAGCCACCTGTCCGTGCACAGATCGAGTGAAAGGCAATTTGCTTTTTGAGTGCGACGCCCACCCATTCCGGTACCGGGCATTGGCCCTGGGCAGCCCTTTCAGCCAGATGCTGCAGCGCCAGAGTGGGCTATGAATCTGGGGAAGGGCCTGCGCCCTCTGCATGCCCCCGTCAAAGGCACGTGTAGGGCAGCCAAGAACATCCATGAATCCAGCGGGCATCCAGCGGCGTGTTGCGCCACCAGACTGCCGAGGCCGTTCGGGCCCGTCACCGTGCTCCGGCATTGGGCCCGAAGCCCTCGAAAGTAAAGTGGAACACCCAGCCTCCTTTCAAGCCTGGAGCCTTGGCCAAGTTGGCCCCCTTGCAAATCCGTGTGACGAGAAGAGAGGCGGCTTTTGGAACGCAACCGCCACTCCAACTTCCATGAGACATGCAGGCAGCCTGCTGCAATTCCGCTCACCAGCTGTAATCAGTCGGCAGCCGCTGCTCCAGCGCTATGAGTCATAGACTCTGCGATTATGGTCCTCAACGCGTGCTTCCGGCACAGTTTGGCGGGCTGTGCCGCCGTTTGCCAACGGCCGGCCCAAAGCTGTCCGGTGAGAGCTTGTGGCCTGCGCTTAGGCCCGAGTCGCACTCTGCGAGCCAGCTGATCTCCGTAGGTCCGTGGTGACCCAGACAAGTTCAGCTGCAGCGCGCTTTTGCATGAGGGTCCCGGCGCCGGATGACCACAGCCTGGCTCGCAGCCACCGAGGTCAAGCTCAATGCACGATCTGAGTATCTCACCTGTGCAATCTCAGCGCTGCGTGCTGTGGTTTGTGCCGTGATGGACTCCCAGGGATCGAGCCCAATGTGCACGAGCTGTAAAGTTCTGCTTATCATTGGCTGCACGTTGGGCGGTGCACGCGCGCTCGCGCCTTTCACTGCGGAAGCAATACCCGACTGGCCGAAAGTCTGTTCAAGGGCCCGAATGGGTCGGACAAGCCTGGCGGCTGAAGGCAAGCTGCGCCTCGGGAATGTGGCAGGGGAGCCTGAGCAGGGAGTCGTGCGAGAAAGGTTTGTCAACGACACCCCCTGTGTCACTGTGCCCAACGACACGATAGCCTGGATACCTGTCGCCCTGTCGAGGATTTGGCTGGCTTCCACGCAGGTGACCTGCAGTCCTGGGTTCACTGGTGTGGACCTAGAGCCAGCGTGGCAAAGCCTCAGCTAGCGGCTAGAGCCTCGTGCAGCAATGGTGCCATGGAGATACTTAGATGCTGTTGTGCTTTGGCATCGCCGACCTTACCTACCTTGGCCCGGCCCTTGTGTGCTGTGAGTTTTTGCAGCAGAAGCAAGCTTGCATTCCCCAGATCGCTATGGTGTGGTGCGGGCTCCCCACTGACTTTGCTTGTGCAGTGCTGCCAAACGCAAGCAACGTGCGTGGAGCCGCGTGGCAGCCAGCTACGTGCACTGAGGTATGAGACCGGCAGACCCTGACGCGGCGCCGTCGCCGTCGAAGGCAGCCGAGGGCATCCAGAAGGGAGGGCCGACGAGCAAAGATCGGGGGTTGCGTGCGCACGAGAGCTTGCGTGCCACTGGTGCCAGTACCACAAACCCTGGAATCAATTTGTGAAGTGAGGCAGGCTTCTCGCAGTGTTCGCGCCCGCGCGAGCAGTCTGCCTGTTGCAGCAATCCCTGCCTTTGCACGAAGCGGCTGAGCCGCCTCGGGAATGTCAGGGAGTCGTGGAGGAAAGGTTTGTCAAGGAGACCCCCTGTGTCCAATGACGTCATAGCATTCCTGGATGGCGGGCGGCGAATTGCCAGTGATTGCACTTGGGATAGGGTGCAGCGAGCACCTATTACCCCAATACTCAGCATACAGTACCCAGTGACTCATGGCCTCACAGTCTGCAGTTTTGGCCCAGTTCTGGGGGACCGATTCCAGACTTGAGGTTGGGGTGCGTGCCTTACGAAGCACCGCCGAAGGAAACCAAAGAGCTAATGATTGAATCCATCTGATCGATGATTAGCTCCTTCACACTTGTCACACTTCTGGAGGAAAGAGGGCAAGAAAAGACTCACTGAACGCACAGGGACATTTAGATAAAATCATGAGCCTTGTTTCGAGAACAAGATATCTTAAACCTATACATGTATTAGTATGGGTTTCGGGTCCCGGAGAACAGCTAGGACTAAAATTGTAGCGTTTATTTTCTCTTATTTATCTTCCTAATTTTTCTCTGTTTCGTGGTCCAACTTGTGTGTGCTCAATCAACAATCTGCTTTGTCGGTGTTTTACCTTCTGCCTTGCTGTCAGAGTCATTCGGTTTGTTTTCGTTCAGTGTTGCTTGTATTTGCCTCGTGCCTGAATGAATCAACATCTGCGGGTTTGGTTTCCCTAAACCCTGCGTGTGATCCTGTAGCTTCAGCCTCTGCTTTGAAGATTCTAAATTTTGGGCCCTTTGGGGGTCTTTCTGATAGTACAATCTTGTAGTTGAACCAAAAAGGGCCCACAATTCCCCAAACAGTTCTACTGTTGGGGTCCAAAATTCATTTCAGGAATTGCCGCCGGCATTCTGGTGAGCATTGCCGGGTTCCTGGGCGCCATGTCTCCCTTTGTCTCCCTTTGTCTTCCTTCATGTGGGTAGCCTTTGCCGGGTTCCTGGGCGTCTTGTCTCCCTTTGTCTCCCTTTGTCTCCCTTTGTCTCCCTTTGTCTCCCTTTGTCTCCCTTCATGTGGGTGGCCTTTGCCGGGTTCCTGGGAGTCTTGTCTCCCTTTGTCTCCCTTTGTCTCCCTTTGCCTCTATTTGTCTCCCTTCATGTGGGAGGCCTTTGCCGGGTTCCTGAGCGTCTTGTCTTTCTTTGTCTCCCTTTGTCTCCCTTCGTCTCCCTTTGTCTCCCTTTGTCTCCCTTTGTCTGCCTTTGTCTCCCTTTGTCTCCCTTCATGTGGGTGGCCTTTGCCGGGTTCCTGGGAGTCTTGTCTCCCTTTGTCTCCCTTTGTCTCCCTTCATGTGGGTGGCCTTGTTCCTGAGCGTCGTGTCTCCCCTTGTCTCCCTATGTCTCCCTTCATGTGCGTGGCCTTTGCCGGGTTCCTGGGCGTTCTCGCTTCATGTGGGTGGTCTTTGCCGGGCTCCTTTGTTTCCCTTCATGTGGGTGGCCTTTGCCGGGTTCCTGGGCGTTGTTTCCCTTTGTCTCCCTTTGTCTGCTTTTGTGTCCCTTCACTAGCACAACTAAATGAAACATTGCTCAGGCTCCGCCAGCTGAAGCTGTTGGGTCAGATTCTGCGGAGACCTGTCCGCTAAAGCCATAGCATCTCTTTTGACAGGTTTCTCCAACCGGGTGGAACGAACAACTGCTCGGGCTCGCAACGACCATTTTCAACGGCCATTTCTTTGAGGGGCGGGGCGAAAGGGATATAAAACACAAGATTCTTGAAGTGGCTGGGAAAAGAAAGTGGTGGTCTCGCGTTTTCCGACTAGACAAATCTGGCGTCGCCGACCGGAGGGACATCGCAGTCAGCGCCCTGGCAGCTGAAAAGGGTAGTCAGTATGAGATTGTAGACATCGGCCAGCAAGTACATGTGTCCAATGGCCGCATTGGTGGTGTTGATCCGCCAGCGAACTGGGGCGCCATTTGGTCAAGGTCATTTGGGTGGCATGTACTTTGACATCAGCCGAAATGAGTTGATCATCAAAGCCTACAGTGCTTCAAAGGGCTCACGTGCAGAACGAATGTTTCGTGGGCTCAAAGAGTAGTTTGTTGGCTGGCTTGCGCTGTAGGCTTCCTGTTTGCTTACTTCCAGTACTCACTTCCCGTACTCACAGAATCAGTCGCAATGTTTGGGCGCTGTATGGTCAATCTTGCAGTTTTTCATGTGCCACACGGCTGCGCCATGGATTCCACTGCATGTTCGCTTTCTCCCAGCTTCTGCTGCAGGCAAAAGCAACAATGCTGGCGCGGTTACTTACCGATAACAGCAGATCCCTGATTCGGAATATCCTGAGTCAAAGATTACCGCTTCCTGTGCTTCGCGTGCCACTGCCAAGCAGTAACAAAGATCTGCGCTCAGACGTCCGCAGACGTCCGCTGGTCGCACCCTGTTTTATTCTTTTTCCGGGGAGGTGGCCCACTTCCAGATGTGTTATTGAAGTATGACGGTCTCAGTTAAGAGCACGCTTCGATTTGTCAGAGGCGTGTGCTCGCAGCATGGCCGTGCGTTGCAGCACAGTTCCTTTGTTGGAGGGCACGGCGCGCAGGTTCTATCGCGACAAGAAGGTCTGTCTTGCCTTGCCAGAGGCTGTGAAGCTTCAGACGGGGACCTCTGCTGTCTACAGCTGTCTTCCACCGAGCAGCCTAGTTTCAGATGCTGCTTAGCTGCCTCTGCTAGGACCTGACATGTCATAGGGTGGAAATGGTAGAACTCAAGCGACAGCGGATGCTGGAAACTTCTACACTGGTCAGCTGACCTGCCTAAGCGGCCTTGGTACAACACAGGCCATTTGCAAAGTCCTCTAACTCCTGCCGAGGCCCTTGCAGCTTCGCTTTTTTTGGGGTGATCACGTGCGGCTTTTTGCAAAAGCGATGCAGCCCATGAGCCCGTGACGTTCCAGACAATATTGGTGTTCCACCAGCCGTTCGGTGTTGGCGGTTGGCAGGGACGCCAGCCCTCCCTCCAAGCCTAGCATTGCCTAGGTTGGGAGGCTAGGTCGGGAGGTTAGAGGATGTTTTCTCGAGTTTCTGGATTTGGGAGGGGCAGCGCCTGTTCCCCTCATGCCGCAAATTGGGGTGCCAGGATTGGTGACCCGGTATTTCGCAATGTCAGCTGTAAGAGACTTCGCAGTAGAATCCTCGTACCTTGCAAGAAGGGCCGACAAACAGCCAGTTGAATCCTTCCACGTCACGCTCGTCTGCTCAAACGCTCGTGTCCGCAATTCTGGGTTCTCAGTTAGTCGGCCACAGGCTGTCAGGACAGGTTTTGGCGCGGCCCTAGGTGGGTTGAACGAAGTTCAAGCCTACACCCCCAAAGGCTGCCTTGACCTGATTCTGGATTTCTGTCCATGTGAGGATTCTTCAAAACTTGAACAAAGCTTGAGTTTTGTTTGTGTGAGCGGCCATGAGCCGCTTCAGAACTGGTGCATGTTGGTGCTTCCCATCTCTGCGTAGGCCCACGGCGACGGCTCGTCTGTGGGTTTGCCTTCACCGCAGCTCTGTTGTGCTGTCCTCTGGAATCCGCCAAAGGTGTCATTGCACGCTCTTGCCTGGTGCCTGAAGCATTTATCCAGCCAGCGGTAAACTCACGTAGGCCAGGCTGCTTCTGATTGTACGTATGTTGGACACGCGTGTGACCCAGTGCACTCCACAAATCTCGAAGTGGGCTATTCATGTTTAAGCTTAACTCTGCATTTGGACAGATGAGGCTGGGCGCATTTTTCGTCGCTTTCATTTTCCAGCCATCCCGCAGCGGCACTGAAGTCTTTAGCAATACATCCCGGCAAAGGGAGATCCAGACAGCGTCACTGTGCAGCCACATCTGCATCTGTAGTAGCAGTAGTAGTCGTACTGAAGACTTCTCCAAGTGCCAGTTGTTTCCTGCGCGAGGTTCTGTTCGCATGATTGCAAGAAGACTGCGGAATGTCCTGAAACCGTAAATGGCATCTTACCAAACGGCTCCCGTCCGACGCGCATGCCGTACCATGGTGGCTCCCCCCCTCCCAGGTGAGAATGCAGGTGGAGGCATCTGCCGTGAAGCTTGACGAGCAGCTTGGGAGGGGGCTCTCTGCTGTGAGGAACTTCTCGTCCCTTGTCAAATGTGGTCCTGCAGGGTCAGTTGCGCCGTAGAAACGAGCAGCCTTGGCACAACACGGGCCATCTGCGAAATCCGCTCCAGGTCCTGCCGAGGCCCTTGTGGTGTCGATTTTTTTGGGGTGATCACGTGCGGGTCTCTGCAGGGGCAAAAGCCATGCGGCCCATGAGCCCGTGACGTTCCAGACAATATTGGTGTTCCACCAGCCGTTCGGCGTTGGCGGTTGGCAGGAACGCCAGCGCTCCCTCCAAGCCTAGCATTGCCTAGGTTGGGAAGCCAGGTCGGGAGGTTAGAGTTTGTTTTCTCGAGTTTCTGGATTTGAGAGGGGCAGCGCCTGTTCCCCTCATCCCGCATATTTGAAGCGTAAGTTTGCTGACATGTGCAAGGCCGCTGTTTTCATGCTGAGCATTGCATCTCCGGTCAATGCGCTCATGTTTGGGATGTGCCTTACCTTGTCATTGATAATCGTGTTGGTGATGAGTTCGTTAAACGTGATGCACTCTTCAATCAAACAGTTTTCCTGCGAAGAAGCTTTCCCTGCGTTAGACGCATTGGAAGGATCAGCTGTGGGCTTCCTACCCTGGCTATTGACGCCCCTTGCAAGCCTGTTTCAAACAACCCTGTCAGGTTCGGAAGCAGGGCTTTGGAATGCTCTGCGTTGAAAGTATTGGAGGGAATGTCTTAACATTCTGGCCAGCAGATTTGTGCTCAACATATGTTGAATTGTCGGTTGCAGCACTTTGCTATTCCACAATTCAAGACACCCCCTGGCGGTGTGGCAGCTGCATCGACCCTGCGATTTTGTGCCAAGCGTCCGAAAGTTGGGCGGGCACCTCTTCCATCGGTTCCATTTTCTTTATCACCACATTGCGCATTCTCCTAAGCATGTCATCTTGCCTGACTGCGGAAGTTGTGTTTGGCCCGTTTCTTGCATCTTCCAGAAAGCAACTAGCTTTGGCCACAATCTTTATTACCGGGGACTGTAGCAATCAGTGATTCGTTTCGAAGATGTTGAAGAACATAAACGAAGGGGTTTTGGAGCATGCCAAATCTTGCATGCGGGGCCTTTGCTTGCCATGAACCTTTGGATGGAGGGAGCTGCTTGTTGTCGTTTGGTGCAATATCCATGCTGTGGCATGTTCTGAAGCATCAAGTGGAGACTGGCCCTGTAGTCAATTGTAGTCAGTGCGTTCCGAAGCAAGATGGCACTGTGGGAGGCCAGAAGTGTGTTTCTAGTGATCAGTTTGCTGATTCATGTTTCCGCCGTGTTCCCATTGCACACGAGCCAAGCAGTGTGGGCTGGCAGATGCTGGCAGCACTTGCATAAATTTCAATGGTATTGTTGGGGAACCACTGGCAGCATGTGAGGAGTCCAGACAGAGATGCATTGATTGTTTTCCCAACGCGGGGCAGGGTGTTTCACTAGAATCAGAAGTCTTGCCCCAAGATTTGAGCGTTTGGCCTTGGACCAAGAGACAGCACTTGCCGAGAGCCAAGGAACCAAGGGGATTGGGGCGACCGAACTTCACGTCTGTGTCAATCCTATTAGACAGCCGTCGAGCGTGGACAAACTTCAGTCTTGTTTGGCAAACGTGGTTTGTTTTTGAGCATTGTTACGCACGGCCGGGACTCAAAAATTAATGTTGTCCTCACCAAATTGTTGCAGCGTGTAGGTCTAGCTTAGACAGTGAGTGGCTTTGTGGACACTTGATGTCATGTGGGTTGTGCAGGTTGTTGGCGGTGTTGGTAATGGCGGCGTCTTGGTGCGTTCGGGTCCAGCACTTTCGGACGAACTTTGCGACACACGGCTCACCACTGGTGCCGTGGTCAAGGACAACGTTCGGTGGCCTCACATTTTCACATCATGTTTTTGTGCTGATGGACTGTTTGGAAAAGCAGCTTCAATCGAAAGAGGGTCCGATTTGCAAGGAGATCGACAGCATGGATGGACGCCTTTGCTACGAGCTTGTACGTGGTGAGGGCCCTGCCACGGGCTGGGTTACTATGAAGCTGCGTGGCAAGGCCACTTGTCCCAAGATTTTCATTGCACACAGAAGCAGCAGCGGTGATAGTGTTGGGTTTGATAACAAGTTCTTGTTGTTTTTTTGCTGATTATCTGTCCTGCCTGTGACCTGACTACGTGAGGATCTCCTTGTGAAGGCTGACGACTCGGAATCAAACCGTGCTCAGCGCCGTGGAAGATTCTCAGAGTGGGCATCGCAGAAGTCAGAGGCACCAGAAATGCAACATGCTAAGTTTACGTCAAATCCTTGACTGAGTTATGCCCTGGAGCAGGTTGCCGTGGTTGAGGAGGCTTCGACTGGAAGCGAAGTGGAGATGCCAGCTGTAATCACCAGCGAGTGTCGTGCCCTGCAGAGTGAGCGGTTTCTGAGAGTTGTGGTCTTCACTTCATGGGAAGCCGAAGGACAAGTTTTTCAGTCGGGGCTTCGCGTGTTGAAACTTTGACGCATGAAGCAACTGATTTTCGTCTCAGGTCCGAGGACAACACGGAGAACACTCCCATCCCGGCCCAGGCCGGCAAGGAGCCAAACGAGGCACTGCGGGGGGATGTGGGGGGCATGGCGGGACTCTCTGCAAGGGCTCTCTGTGTGAGGGCTCTGACATGCAGCAAAGTACATCATTGGGAATCATATCCGGTTTGCACATGTGGAATGATCCGTCGTTGACTCGTGCTGATGCCTCACCAATGCATGGTCTGGCTTCTGGTCCTGCAATCAACCTGCCTGACTCCGGCCTATCGATTCTTGGGCAGGATGAGCGCGAAGCTTTCCGTCTTTACACCGAGAAATTTGGGGAATGCCGTGACGGCTCCAACCCAGGTGCAACAGGGGACTCAATTAATGTATGTGGCTTAGTTGGATGGATGAAGAATGCTCTCGAGAGTGTTGAAAGTGAGCCGTGCCCTGGAGGCTACAGCCGAAAGGCCTTCCCGTGGTTCACAGGAAAGGCGCCGCAGGCAGCTGCTTTCATTGCAAGGGATGGAAAGCAATGGCATGTGTCACGTTGTTCATTCTTCCTTTGCAGGGTGAGAAAGTGTCCGCGGAGTCGCTGCAAGCAGCGCTAAGCTACCGACCAACCAAGAAGCGCCTGACGAAGGTCAACCTCACAGAGGCAAAGAGATCCGCAAGGGCATAGATGTCTCAGTGAGAGCATGGCCGGATCCGGATAGAGATTCCGAGTTGGTTTGGTTGAGGCGAAATCGGCGAAATATGACTCTCGAGCTGACAGGTGGACTCCGATCGGGAGGAGATCCCACTCTGCACCCGGTGCTCGATGCCCGTGGGCGAGTTTGCATACCAGGGCCGTGAGGGCAAAGACACCTGTGTCCACACCGAGTGCATGGCACAGGCTTGCTTGGATCCTTGTGCTTGGCTGGTATCCATCATAGAACGCATTTCTTGTGACACGGTGGCTAGTTCATAGATGCTGTCGTTGTGAGAGCAGAAGATTCTCCGGCAAAATGGTGCGATCGACCGACAATCTCGTCTGCGTCCTAAAGCTTACCACCAGGTCCTCATGAAGGAGGCCCAGCGTGAAGATGAACATCGTACAACTAGGGAAAACAACAAGAAGCTCAAAAATCGCAGGGAGCCTTCGCTGGAGTTAGCCTGTCTGTGCATGTCAAAGAAATCCGGCTGATCATCACATAGACCCTGAGTTCGACGTAGGGGGCAGGGGGGAGAGAAAGCCAGGTTCTGTTCCAGGTACAGCTGGCCTTCCAGACCCCCCAGTGGTTGCTTCTTCTTGACACAGAAATCTTTCGTGCTGAGGAGTACAACATCGGCTGGCGCATGGACAGCGTCCCGACGAATGCGAGCCTGGCGGCGCGCATGGGCTGCCACCCCGCACCTCAGGGGCTTTGCTGCCTGGTCGCTTTGAAAGCATTCGGAAGAGTCCAAGAGAGCCCCAAAGAGTGCAAATGGGCGGGTCGGGGAGTTTGAGAATTCTTTGAGAAGAGCGCTGCCTTGAGTTAGCCTTTGAGGTCCTGGATGAGGCTTCGAAGACAGTGCGTGTCGCTGCGACGTTGCATGGCATGCAAAGGCATGTACATTACATATTCTGATTCTGGTCTTTCCTTGACTGATCTTGAACGCTGCTTTCTATCAAGAAGATTGTCACTGAAGCCTACTCGCACTGTCCGATCTCGATGCCTTGGGGGCAATGGTACGGTGTTTATAGGGCCTACGCGGGGTTCTAGGGTTTGAATCATCGAGGGTTTCAGTGTTTGGGGGTGAATTGTTCTTAAGGGGTGCAGGTTGGGTGCAGGTGGGGTGGCAGGGCTGTGGCTTTTTCACTCGAAAAGATCAAGGCATCAGCCTCGGCAGATCTTGTCCTCACCCCAAGATATCTTCAATCTTGAACATCAGGCTCTAGAGAAAGATTCGGCAGGAGAAGCGGAAGAATGCGTCAGAAATAGTTTCCTCCGCGTGTTCAGAAGACTCCAACGACTCAGGCTGGAGCCGTCGGCCTCGGTGAACCTGGAGTACCTTCTGTTGGCCCTCAAGGCCAGCCAACAATGGGCCACATAGTCAGTTCTTCTGTCAACGGCTCGTGGTGGCCCAACACTGACTCGCCAGCAAAGGCTGAGAAGGCTGTGAAAATGTAAGGCTAGATATTCGACCCAGCCTGGTTTTGCTCGCAAGGTGAGGAAGTCTGCCTCCCGTGAGCCCCTCTTCTCGCTGGATCCCATCGACCCGAAGAACTTGGAGAACTCACCCCAGAAGAAGGTTGGATAGCGCGGCAAGTTTTCTTACAACGCTGCAGTTCATTGCCAGCGCTATCCAGCGCGGCTTGCCTGCAAGGTTTTCGAGCCTTCCTGGCTGGCCGGCACCAGCGCCGGCGATGTCATGTTCCAAGCCGACTACTTTCTGAAGGAGTGCTGGCTGCTTCTATCAAGGGACTGGAAATGTGACAGGGATGTGGGGTCCGTGAGCCCATGTAATTGTTTTTTTTTTTTTTTTTTTTTTTTTTTTTTTTTTTTTTTTTGCGCATTCGCATGCATTCGCATGCATTCGCATGCATTCGCATGCATTCGCAATGTGAAGGAGCTCGCTCTGGGCGAGTACTCGATGCCAGTCCTCGGGATGCTGAGTGTCTTTGACTGGTCTGAGATTGGCGATAAGGAGAAGACCTGGTCGGGCCGGGCTCTTAAACCTCTCCGCTCATCCTCCCAGCCTCTTAAAGCCTCCGTGCTTCTGCCCTGAGGCCGTGAGTGGTTCGTGGTGAAGAAGGCGGAGGTCCGCATGGCCGAGGACCAAACGCTCATTCCGCACGTCCGCATGGGCGTGGAGGCTGCCAAAGAATGGAGGGAACCGTCAAACGCCTGGAATCTGTCGTGACGATTCTCTCCTCTGAAGGCCCGAGAGCAAATTGTGACGCCCAAGGGCTTGGAGGACCGTCGGTAGCCAGATCCTATGAGGTTCTTGAGAGGAAGCCTGCCGTTCAAGCTTGGCAGTGTTTGGTGTGGCAGACGATGACAGGATGCTCCGGTTACCGTGCCCACGCACCCGCTCAAGAAGTTTGCAGAGGCCGAAAGCCAAGCACCGGAGTCGGTTTAAACAGCCACGTCAAACTTTCAAGCCGCAAGGAGCCGGCATCGGAGTGATCATTGAACCTGTCAAGGCCTTCACTCGCAACTTCGACCTCATCGCAGAGCGCAAGAGTGTCATTTTCCACCTGCGCGAGCTGGCCAAGGCAAGACCATGCCATGGCCTGCACATACAGAAGCACTCCGGGGGCCCACGATTATGCGACGTTTCCGAAAATGGTTCTGTGATTTGTATTGTTGAGGGTCGCCCGAATGTGGGGCCAGAGACCCTGACAAACAGGAGAAAATTGGAAGGCCTCCTCAAGCTTCAAGGTCTCAGGGCCCCCCAGCCCGAAATTCTCAGGCCCCAAGCTGGTGATCCAGCCTTGTTTGTAAAACATTGGGTGGGCGGGTGGGGGGGTTCAAAAGCGAGCACAACAGAACTCGTAGTTAGCATTAGAAGTGGACATTTTCTGGAGTGCTTTCAGAGCACACTGCAGACGCTCACCGCAGGCATCCGTCATGGCCAAGTACCTGGTGGATTCCAAGGCACGCATTGACCCATCCTGGTATCGTTTGGCAGACGAGATCGTGAAGGGTGCCCCGCCGGAGCCCCACATGGAGATCCCTCAGCTGTGGAACATGCGCGGCAACTCCCGGATCAAGCTCAAGAACGGACGCCTCATCGACATGGTCACAGGCCTTGTCGGGCTTGAACGGTGGGCATGTTGCGTACATGCGATGTGGGCTGAGCTCGTTTGTCAGGTGGCCAGAGCAAGCTCCAGGCCATTTATGGCGGTGTCGAGAATCTTGATAGCAAGGTATTGCATCCTGCGCTTTGAGTGGTGAACGCGTGCACGGAGAGCAGACCGAGCAGGCCTATTTTGTGCTTGCCGAGGTTTGGCCTGGACCGTTTCGAGCTTGCTCAGCGGCATGCGCTGCAGGGCCAGCCGCAGCTTTTCAGCACTTTCTTAAAAAATCACAGCACGTGAGTAGCTCCTTGACTTTCACGTGGCTGACCACATGTCAGATGTTTCTGGGCACGACTGGAAATGGTCGCTCCCTGTTTGCTGAACCTCTTGTTATAGCTGTAAACGTATCGATGCGATGTGAGTATGCTTGAGCTGGCCACAGTGCAAGGACCGGAATGCAGCTGGGCCAGTCAGGACGCGCTTGATTGCGCTTTTATGAGAATGGGAACCAAACTGTGGTTGTTCCCAAAACTGGAGACCACAAGAAGTGGAACAAAAGAACTCTGTGAAATACGGCAGAACACTGGCGGACCTGGGGTCATCTTGGGTTCATTTGGGTTCAATTTGACAATTCGTTTCCTTGTGAGGCGCTTAAACTTGACATTGTGACATGGAGAGAGAACAGAGGGAATTAAACATGGAGGTCTATATTTTATAGGATTTTTTTTGTTTTTTTTTATTTGTTCTTGCTACTGGTAAACCCTAAACCCTAAACCCTAAACCCGAAACCCTAAACCCTAAACCCTAAACCCTAAACCCTAAACCCTAAACCCTAAACCCCTAAACCCCTAAACCCCTAAACCCCTAAACCCCTAAACCCCTAAACCCCTAAACCCTAAACCCTAAACCCTAAACCCTAAAGCCTAAACCCTAAACCCTAACCCTAAACCCTAAACCCTAAACTCTAAGCCCTAAAACCTAAACCCTAAACCCTAAAACCTAAACCCTAAACCCTAAACCCTAAACCCTAAACCCTAAAGCAAAAAACGAAAAAAATCCGACCAAAAAAAACAAAAAATCCTAATTTCATTCTCCGGCCATTAAACACTTCGTTCAAACCTTGGATGATGGTTGCCCGCGCTTGTTATCTTGGTCCCTCACCTCGACTTGCTGGCTAGGACGGCCGATGTTCATGCCGCAGCGCTTCCAGCTGGGCCAGCGCGAGATGCCGCAAGGCGCTTGCTGTCAAAGGTTGTGTGCTGATAGACCCTCCTTGATCCCAAAGCAACATCGGTCTAACGGTTTGCAACTTCTTCGAGGGATCTACAGGACATCGGCCCCCTGTGATGTACCCAACCAAGTATGCGTTGGCAGTTCGCTGGCGGTACTGCAGGTGTGGACCTCAACTTGGACAAGTTCTCCCTCTCGACCGAGGATAGCGCAAGCTTAAGACCAGAGACTGGGGTTGTGTGACCAGGTACAAGGTAGCCATGTGCAGGAAGGGACTGCAACGAGTCCTTGTGCAAGAATTGGTCTTTTGTGGAAAGCATATTTTGAAAGTTCGATGTTCACAGTGGAGGAGCGCTTCCGGGGTCGTCTTCCACCCTGCAGCGGCGATGCCAAGTCCCTGGAAGGCCGCACCACGCTGGGCAAGGCGGAGAAGGGGAGATTTCCGCAAAAAAGGGTTGAAGGGAAGCCTCAGAGTGGGAAATCCCTCACCTTTCAGTCCTATGCTGGAAAGGCCTTCCTCAGCAGCCTGCGTCAGAAGTCCTGGCGCCTTGGCGGCTTTTGCCCCCAGCACAGCCTGGAACCGTCCGGAACCTTTGCCTGTTGCCTGTGCAGACCTGAGGTCCGGAATGAAGATGGACGACCAGAAGCTGCTGCTGAACATCTTCGACGTTCCTCAGTGTGACCGAACGGAGGAGGGCGACGCTTTCACGCCGCCGGATCCCAACCTTGAGTACATCGTGAAGGTACGAAGCCTCGTGGGCGAGGAGCGCTTCTCAGACAACGCCAGTTTTGAGTCTCGGTACTCTGCGAGTGGCAGCTTCCGCCTTGGCTCTGCAGGAGCGTAGCATCCGTGATCGGCGCAGGGTTCGCTTTGCGGACAAGAACTTCGTGATGGCAGCCTGAACTCACATGACTCACATTACTTGAACCTCAAGAGAATTGGAGCAAGTATATAGGTTGATGGAGGGAAGGAGGTGCAAGGGACTCTTCGATCCAAGGCAAATCCTGGATCGGAGTTCCCGAGATCTTGGACCTCCCGCTTCCAGGTTGAGCTTGAGGGGTCGCGTCCTTAGCAGCCAGAGCACACCGATGGCGCTCAACGAAGCCTGAGAGCAATCGCCCAAACTTTCTGCGCCCCCCGTCCTCCTGGTCAGGCGAATCTCCTACACGGCGCCCACGAAGTTTGGCTTGGTGAAGTTGGATGTTGACGAGGCATTCAAGCGCAGCATGCTCGAGGACAGCAGTGTTTGACCTTCCTCCCCAGACAACATCATGTAGAATGCTGGTGTACAGCTGGCCACAGCATTGAATCAGTGTGAAGCATGTTGAATACCAAGCCATACCAAGCCTGCTTCATGCGTAGCTTTCCGGGCCCCTATCTGGAGGATGTGATTCCCAAAGCCGCGCCGGAGTGCCGTAGTCGCAGACAGTTGCGGTCTGATCGTGAACTGTTTCCAGTTCAGGTACAATCTGTCATGTTCTGCCAAGATGTGACCATGAATACCATGCCATAGAGGGTACCAAGTTGCAACTTGCCGTTCAGCAGACATAGAGGAGATAGAGGAGTTGTGGGAGACCCTCAGGTTCCATCAAGTCACGGAAGACGGAGTCGCCTTCCGAATCTACAAGCTTGGCAGCCTGGAGGCGCCGTTTCTCAGCACAGTACATCAAAGACCCAGCACACCTTAGCACACCTTAGCACACCCTTCTCTTTGCCAGAGAGAAGGCTTTGCTCTGCTGTTTTACTCAGTTTAGTTTTGATGCAATTTGATGCAGGTCCGCACCATCCAGGAGGTCGATGAGGCCGAGATGGTTCATGTGCCGCTCTCAGTTGGGGCCTTTCCGTGGCAGTGTAGCGCTTCGCATTGTTGTCATTGCACCGGCTCTACAAAACAGAGAAGAGCCTCAAGCGGCCTCCCTTTGCGGCACTATGAGCGTTCAGGAGATGTCGGTGCAATGGTGCGCAGCATGGCACCGACTGGCACAGCATGGCTCAGCATGGCTAACAGGTGGTGTTCTCCTCCCGCGCGGTATCCTGGGAGACGAAAAGCTCCAAACCGCAGGCTTGGACATGAGGACTCACATCCGAACAAGGATGGTTCGTGGAGCCCTTGGCAGGATCAGCTCGGAAAGGAGAAGCTGAGCCGATGCCGAGTGTATGTGGAGGCCATGGAGCACGAGGCCAGACCCCGTGAGCACTGCAAATTGGCACCAGCATGAGCCGCACAAGCCCAAACTGCTGCGGTAAGACTTGAAAGCACTAGGTTGAGCGCGAGCACTGCTGACAGGGGTAGAAGGACTGCAGTTTCTTCCCTTGCCCAAGACATGTCCGGTTCCACGGTATACCTGGTCAACTGGACAACTTTCCCTACCTTTCGTGCATGGTCAGGCCTGCAACAACTACTACATCGTGCTGGACACGAACGAGAAGAGTGTTGTTGTGACGGAGCGCATGTCCGATGGATCCTTGTAGCTTGGCATGGGGTTGTTCATGGTTGTTCTGTGTAGTTCTATTTCGAATCCTGTGCACCTCTGCAAGTAGGCAGCTAGATGCTGCTCAAGATAGATGCGAGCAGTTTTGGGGGGGGGGGGGGTCCTGGCAGGTGCTGGCTGCAGAATCCTCACAACCTGGAAGATCGCAACTCCTTGGCCAAGTTGCTCTTCACCGCAGATTGCAAGGCTGGGCTGCGTTTTCCCTTCCTTGCAGCCATTGGGTGTACTCCATACCCGCAGTGGAAGGGCGGGGGGGTTCTTGGGTCTCCCAACACTTAGCGCCCTAGCAAAACATATCTGCACATTGCATCTCAGGAGGGCCTGCGCATGAGTGACGTCAAGCAGCACTTTGAGGTGCTCTCAGCACTGCAGCTGAAACTGTCGAGTGGCACGCTGCGGCAGACTGTTTTGTGGCATGTGGGCGGACATTTATGCTTTGCATTGGTAAGTACAAGAGCGGAGCGGTGACAGGATCGTGAATCGATGTGCTCTTTTGCAAGGCTCTTCCACGAGACACGGACGGCGAGCATCGCAAGCGCTATGCCAAGGTGCCCAGGTGTCGTCGGTATATCTACTTTGATCTATGCCTCTGCATAGGTCAACTGCGACCTGCCAACCCCCACCCCTCCCCAGACAGGTTTCGCTGCATTTCGCAGCATTTCTTGAAAGCCTTACGCATCATGCGAGCGAATTCTGCCCTGAAGGCGCTTTACGTGTACACCACTGGTCGAAGCTTGAAGGGCAAGTGGGGAGGCGCGGATCGTTTTCCTGTCGGCCAGTCCGCATTCTTGGCAGGGAGGGCCTGAACTTGGTGTGCGAATTTTCAGGATTTGTTTTTGGGTTTGGCGTTTGGAGCTGTGTTGTCCTTAAGACGTCGATCTCTAACTTCTTTGATTGTTTTTGGAAGCCGACGAGGCAGTGCCCGCCGCTACACGGCACCACCGATGCGTGGCCTCGGTGTTCAGGCAGAGCAGGGGATTCCTCTGAGAGACCTTTTGAAGCAGAAGAGTGCCAGTGCTATCTCTCCGCCAGCACCTCGCTCAGCCCTTTTGATAACCTCTGCAGGCACTCGGGCGCAGCTCGGAGTTCATGAACGCGGCTTGGCTCATGACGCTTCTGGGATTCATACGTGCACCTGTGATGTCTCATGCGAAGCGTTCCCTGCAGGTGATGTGGCTCGCCAGGAACTCTGGGATGCGAGGGCTGTGAGACCAGGGCGGCGGTCTATGAGACTAGGAAGGTGCTGTGGCACTGATGTCTTAGCATATCTCCTGCACTGCCAGGAAGACTATAGGTGCACTCTTGCATACGGCCATCTTAACCGCAGGAACTGCCCTGCTGGGTTGCAAGACCATACACACTTCCGGCACGTTGTGGCCGCGTCGTTTAGGCAGCGCTGTTGGTCATGCAATCCAGTAGGCCTATCACGATTGGGCCGTCTCCGGTCCAGCGCAGAATCTGAGTTCCTAACGGTACAAGACTGCACTTTCTTGAGCGGGGAAGCGTATTAAAGCGCGAAGTCGCGTGTCTTGAACTATTGGTGTGAGACAGCCACAGTTCCCGCTACCAGTGCTGCTTTGGACCAGCCGAGCGGCGACCGAACACTTCGGTTGCATACTCAAGGCACGTTTGAGACTTGGCCAGACACTTGCCAGACAGACCGACACATCAATGTAGATTCGTTACTCGTTACTAGAAGCATGAAGGTGCTGGCAGCTGGCAGGTTCACTCTTCCTTGTGACTCGACAGGCTAGTTGAACCCACCCGCTTGAGCGAAAATATTCGGCTCTGTGACCAGCTGACATGCTGCGACACAGCCTCACAACAGCACGGTTAGTGTTTCTCTGCAGTTGCAGCACCGTGGCCGTTGCCCCTCTCATAAATCTGAGCATCCCAAGTAGCCACGTGTGGTCTGGAATATGAGAGCAGCTCCTTTTGCTTTTGAGTTTGACATGCTCGACACATTCTGCAAAATATAATTAGGTTGGTTAGCTGCAAGACTTTTCGAATGGCCTTGCAATGCAGTCCTCGGCTGCCTTCCACTGGCAATATCCCGCCTTCGACGCCGCTCGGAAGTAGACTGAGTCATCAAAGGGCGATGTCCTGTCATCCCCAAGACCTTTCACAGGGCCAAGCCGTGGCACGTCCTTGTCTGCATGCCGATCAGAGCACGAGACTGTCGGTACGTTCCAGTCACGCCAGTCTCGTGAAGGGCGGCCCAATGGCCGGCGGTGCGGCCGCAGCTGCGAAGTCGGGGTGGCGTGGGGCCTGCCGCAGTTTCTTGGCCAAAAGCTTAAGCGCTTTATGGTACATTCCCGAGTGGGCTCGAGTTCTCCTTGAGGCTCTGCAGCAGGACTTTAACTCTCCTTGTTGCCACGAGCACAGGCCGCCTTCTCTGTCGGGGTGTATTGGGCCAGTCCACATCTCCGCAGGCGCGCGATCCGGGTGGACTGGGTGGATGATTGACTGATCCCAGTGCCAGCTTTACTTGTGAGTTGAGTGAAGTCGAGCAATCAACAATTGTGAGCGGTGTGAGCGGTATTCGGTACTGGTAGGTCAGTGTCAGAGAAGCTTACATGCATGTTGGATTGGCAGCCAGGAGCAGCCGTCGGACTCACTGGTGTCCCCGACATTCCAACACCGGCTCGGTTTCGCGGCGCGGATGGAACGAGGCTCGAGGCTTCGTTATGTTTGTTGGCACACATCTCACGATGGCGCACACGCTGATTTCGAAGCTGTCCAACTCAGCCCATCTCAAGCCCTATTGCATTCTTTTGTGCTCCTGGCTGACGGTCTTCCGCGATGGTGTGTGCGGTCTTGGAGTGCGCCATGGTCACATTCTCAGACCGCATTCCACGGCGCCGGGCTCAATGGCCCATTGTCGACCTTTGTGCCGGGTCAGCCGACCGCGGGTGGCAGCCTACTTTCCAGAGGCCTTCAATTTTCCTGGTAATTCGCGCATCGTTGCGCCAGTGCCACGAGGCAATGAACCTTTTTTGACAAAATGTCCATCCCGAGCTGGAATGGGTTTCGCAAGCGATGGAACAAAGTGCGACATGGTGCTGTTATGCAAAGGTGTGTCATGTTCACGCAGAGCTCAGCATGTCTTCAGGCAACAGAGCGGGAGATCAAATCCATGGCCCAGACAAAGCTCGAGCAACTTGGTCGTTTCTTGATATTCCGCAGGCGTTGTGTTCACTCACCTGACCTCGTGGCTTCGAACAGGTCGTGGCTCGATAACCCGCAAGATGTCCCTCAAGTTTCGGCTTTGGCTCAGCGCATCGCAGAAGCCGTAGCCGAACTTGAGGACCTGTTGATGCATGCTCTGCTTGTGCAGTTCTCTCAGCTGGGCAGTTTTTGGTTTTTGCGATTGCAGGAGGGGCTGGTCGAGCGCTCGTTGGAGGTCCGCATCCTATTGCTGGCCGCTTTCTGCGCCGAGCATGTGCTGCTGCTGGGCCCGCCTGGGACGGCAAAAAGCCTGTTGGCAAGGCGGCTCACCAGGTTTGTTGGATCGAAGGCTGTTTTTTTTGTCACCTGCCCGCAGCGAGAGCGCAATCCTCAACAGCTTTGTTTTTTGAGACACTTGTAGTCAACTAGAGCTAGTTATTGCGACACAGTACTTCTGACGATCCCAGGAGCGCTTGCTGACGCGGTTTTCGGTGCCCGAGGAACTGTTCGGGCCACTTTCCTTGAAGAGCTTGGAAAAGGATGAATATGTGCGGAAGACCGAAGGTTATTTGCCTGAGGCATCAGTTGCTTTTGTAGATGAGATTTTTAAGGCCAACTCGGCAATTCTGAACACCTTGCTTTCTGTGGTCAACGAGCGGGTCTTCGACAACGGCCCTGAGCGTGTGGCAGTGCCTTTGCGATGCCTCGTCGCAGCATCGAACGAAGCTCCAGAGTCGGAAGAGCTTGAAGCCTTGTACGACCGGTTGCTGTTCCGTTTAATGGTCCGGCCTGTGTCAGATGATTGTGTGGCAGAATTGGTTGCAGCAACGTCCCTAAAACCTCCTAGCCCAAAGGAGGCTAGGAGGGAGTTGGCAGTCGGCCTGGACGATGCGCAGAGCGTGCAAGAGCTTGCAGGCACAGTGGTGGTGTCCCCCGAAATCGTCGAGGTCCTGGTGGACTGCCGCCGCTTCTTCGCAGGGCTGCCTTCGGATCAGCATGCGCAGCTGTCGGATCGGCGGTTGGGCCAGGCGGTGCGGATGCTGCAGGTGTGCGCCTGGACCTGCGGGAGGACTGAGGTGGAGATTTGCGACTGCGTCTTGCTGGGGCATGTCTTCTGGAGCTCTGTCGACCACTGCGAGCAGTTCCAGGTCTTCCTGAAGAAGCGTTTGGCCCGCACTCGCCGCCGGCAGCTGGTATCAATTTTGCAGGGCCTCCTGGAGAGAGTTGAGACGCTTGGCAGATCTTGGCAGCGCTGATCACAAAGGAGGCATCTCTGCTCACTCTGCTCCCGGCCCGATTCGCATGCAAGGTCCGGTGCCACTGCGGCTCCTGACCTGCTGCGTGAGTTGGAGGACCGAAGTCCCATCAAGTTGATTCCTGACAGCCCTCCTTCCACTTCATGATGCAGTTGTGCGGAGGCTTTTCGTCGAGCCCTTTGCCAAGAAATTCGCAGCTGCAAGAGGCGTTGCTTTCATGCAGAAGTACCATGAGTATTCTTCCGGCCTCAGACTGCCTTACACATGGCCATCGTCTAATTGCGCGGCAGTTGCAGCTTCATCTGATTTTTTTTGGGGTGTCCCGCAAGTCGCCCGGAGTATTAATCATCTTCTGGGGTGTGCAGAGACATGACAGAAAGAATGATAGAGAGATGGACTGGACAAGGGCACGGAGGGAGACTTGAGCACCTGCGTCAGCTCGGGAGCTTCAGGGTGTCTGCAGGCAGCGCAGCCTGGCAGAAGTGCACCCTTGGCTGGCACCGGTGGAGGCGCCTAGCAGATCTCTGACACGCTGTGGCAATCGTTGCCATATCCATGGTTTTTGTTCGAGTGAGCCTCTTAGGGGTTCTGTAGTGAGCACCAGAAGCTTTACTTGGAGAGCCTTGGAGTTGCTCTTGATTATTCGATTTTGCTTTCACCTTTTGTGCCAAGATCACCGCTTTGAACGCGTTGCTCGCATCGGCCGTGGAGGGTCTCAGGCAGGTCTCCCAGAAGAAAACCCATCGTTTGGTTGACATGTCGTTGATACACTCTGGCGATGCTGGCACACGTTAAGTCGAAGTCGCCGTCCTGTGCAGTACCGGTGAAAGTACAACTCGCCCAATGGGTGTTGAGGGTTCGTGGTCTGCTGTCATTCGTGACGAGCGCACCTGGAGAGGACGCTGCTTCGCGATGTGGCTGCCCTTGCTGCGGCTGCTGAGCTAGGTGAAGATGTGCCTGCCGAATGGCTGAGGCATCCCGTCCAATCCAGCTGAGCAAGTCGAGACTGCCCACAGAGAAGCGCCCCTCGCAACTTTCCTTCGACAGAATTTGATGCATGGCAAACGGCCCAATGGAAAGGGAATGAGAACCTTTTCGGGTAAGCGCAGCTGTCACGGAAGTTGGGTCTTCTTGTTTTTTTTCCAGAAACACGCTTCCCCCTCCTCCTTCCTGTTGGCCGCGGTGTGTCAGCCATTCTCCGATCTAGCGGTGACCTGTCTTCTCAAGTGCACTGGCTGCGACGCAAAACGCAATTATCTGATGTCGGAGGCTCTGCCAAGGCCGCGGGCAGCTGCGCTGGGTGGAGTCAGCTGACGCAGAGAGGCACATGTTGGCCTGTGTGTATTGAAGAATGGAATGATGCTGTAAGCACAAGTCGGCACGGCACTTCTTGGTGTGTAGCGCTCTGACAGGATCGATGACGACGTCGACGGAACCTTCACTGTCGGCAAGCACAAGGGCCGTTCATTCAGCGAGGTGACTTGCGCGTGCATTGGCAGGAGTCTCCATTGGATGTTTAGGCAAGTCCTGATCACACTTGCAGACCTGTTCTGATGCGAAGGTGGCCGCTGACGACGAGGACTACTGCAGAATGGACGTTGACTTAGTTCATCTGCTCCTGCGATCACTCACTCTGCCATGCAGAGGGCTCGCGAACAGAATGTGTTTGTGTGGCTGTCTGGGAAGAAGACCTGCCCCTGAAAACCCCGGAGAGCAATGAGGTTAACATGTGCAAAAACCATTGTGGAATCATAATCGTCAAGTCAGAGCAAAGAATCATCGCTCGAAGCCGAACTTTAAACCTGAGGTGCAGCGAAAAGTGTCGGAGGGAAGCTTCAGCGGAGACTCGCCCCTGGATAAGCAGCCTGGCCGCAGCGTGCAAGCGGGTGTGGCTAAAAGGCGGTTGCCTGCAGTCGTGTTTGGAAGCACCAGCCCAGGCAGGTGACAGCATTTGTGGCCTACCTGAAGCTCCATCGGCAAGGGTAGACAAAATCGTCGAAGCTGAAGATTGCAGCACAGACATGTTTCTGCCAAGTGGTTCCCACACCTCAACATCTTGAGTTGACATCGCCACGCTGCGCTTCAGCATCTTTCAAATGTTTCGGGTCTGTTGTCTCATGCTGACTGGGACAAGGTTTGATGATTGCGTGGTCTGAGGGCCTCACTCAGGATGCCCTGCTTTGGACATCAGTGAAGTACTGTAGCTTCCCTGCGCCTTGAGGGATGACGGTACCCCGAGCCCAGCAACGATGCCCTCATGCACTCATGTTGAGGGCTTGGTAAAGTCAAGAGAGACAGCGGCTAACGAAAGCCTGCCTCTCCACCTAGCGCGTCCTTCCTCGCTCATTGTACTCATGCAGCGAGTGAGAGCACCAACCTCCGCGCCAAAACATATAGCAAATCAGCTGCAGCCTTGGAGCTTTGATGACTGTGGCCATCTAGGTGCTCCCGCAGCTGCTTAGCTTCAAGAGGCCCCAGGGCCTTCATAGGGGATCATAGGGGGTGCAACGCGGCCTGAAACTCTCAAACTCTTGGGTACATGAAGCTCCGAAACTCGGCAGAGGTGTGAGATTTCGGGATTTACTGGGCTATCGAGGCAAGTTGGACCATTGAACCTCAATGCAGAGGGGCGCTGATGGCTCCTTAAACGTGGACTGGTCCTGGAGTTGCAGCTTGGAGGACCTTTCCCGGGAACTAGGTGAAATTTCTACTGTCCAAGACAAGACATATCAAGTTGTCAGGTTAAAGGTTCGATGCTCTGGCGTGCAGACGACTTACTGGCTCGACATTTCCAACGAACCACATCCTTGCAATGATGTGCCCGTTGCTTGACCTGAGCTCGATGCAGGATTTCCGGGAGTTTGACCCAGACGTTCAGGCGAACAGTGCGAACAGTGCTGAGGTTGTGCTGTTGGGTAGAAGGAAGGAGAGGCCGAGAGGCGCGAGGCTGCGCATGGACCCTGGAATGACATGGCTAGGGGAAGGGTGAAGTAGCACAGTGCCGCTATGTGCCGCTTCTGCTGGGAGATCGGGAGCCCTCGCTCGCTGGCTGCTTGCGACGCCCAGGGCATCTTGCCACGCGAGCATCCCTCAGTGCAAACTGACCCCAGGTAAAGGCTGCCAAATTCCACAACAGTAGGAAGAATAATGTCTTTGGCTGCTGCTTCTGATTTCGGCCCGCTTGCCGTACGCCCATTCCATCTGGGAAAGCTGCCCAGGAACTGACGTACAAGCCCCTCGAGGTTTTCCAGCTGCCAGGCACGTCTGACTTCGTCACCTTTTGTCATCTTGTTCGACGCAAGTGGGTCGGGCAATGGTGTTATCCCCTTCCTGAGTGAAGGATTAGATCCGCGAGTCGCCCAGCTCCGGTATGATTTCATGGAGGCGCACTCGCGACGTATCCTGATGACGGTGTTGCTCGATTTGCAGGTTTGCTCTATTGAGGATGCATCAGGATGCCACACTCCGTGGTTATGCCCTGTCCCCGACAGGTTCAGGATAGTTTGGTCATCCGCCATGTGGGCCCATTGTTCTCATTTCTCCGGCATCCACTCAGATCCCTTGGGCATGGACGACCATTCGGCCGTGCCTGACAATTGCAAGAGGGTCAGTCTCATTGTGCCTCATTGTCCTTCCGCTTCAGGCTGACATGAGGAAGGGATGCGTCAGGGATAGCTTTCGTTTTGCCCCTGGTCAGGCACGGCGGCAGGATCTGATCCATGCTGCCAAAGAAACGCCGGGTGGCCCACGGTGTTGATCGGACTTGTTCTTGCCGTAGTATGGAACCGAAGGTTGAAGGGAAAGAAAGCTCGTTTGGCTCCACCTTGTTGCGCCCTAAACTCGTTTGGAAGTGTTGTCCGAGGCGTCAGGTTATCATGGAGCTAGCAGAAGAGGCTGAAAGTGCGGCACTCAGCTTCTTTTCATCGTCGCATCCACATGATACACCCTCCCCCCCGCTTCCCCGGCTGCCCCCACGATGGAGACCCCAAGTCCTCTTCTCTCATCGCAGCTCCTGGGGCTCCTCGAGGGCTCGCGACCTTCACCTTTGCCTTAGTGGTTGGCGTTTCTAATTTATCGAGATACTTGAAGGCTTTATCGGTTTGCTTCGCCAAATTCAGCCCCACTGATACGACGGCATTTTGTCAGCAAAAGTGGCGGGATCGAATGTCTGTTAGATTAAGCGAATCGCATTCTTTGTTTGCCTTTGGAACTACACAGAAGGTAACTATTCTCGTTAATGTAAGTTCTCGCGCTGGCTCCTAACATCTACCCCTCAAAGCAAAAGATTAGGCAATTACAAGTGGCTCAATGAAGTCGATGACATGAAAAGATTGTCGCTTTTGTCAGCATCATTGAGATAGCTGCATACAGACGCAAAACAATACCCAACATCAACAGCCGACACACTTAGTTATTCAACTCGCGGTGAAAGGGCGAGTATGTGCTTCCCCACATGACTGTCTCCTTTAAGGAGCTTTTATATGGTGGGGGGGGAGTGGAGCAGGGCCTGGGCCAGGAGGCCCAGGCTAGTATCTGATTCGAATTTGTGAGAATGTTTTAGAACATAAAGATGTCTCTATATATCGTTAGAAGGAGATCCAGGCGAGGAGAATAGCTGAGGTAAAGCCCAAGTACACTCGACCGAGGGCTGGGAGAGTTCTTGCATCTCACTGCGCTTTCTTTAGGCAAGTCTTCGGGCCAGCCAAAACACGTCTCGGGCTCGACATTCCCACAAGTTGTGTGTTGTAAAGAACACAGCCGGATCAAAGGGGATGGGGGGAGTATATATATATATATATATATATATATATATATATTGTAAGTACATGTACAGGGAAAGAAGTGCTAGACACTTTTTTTGCACAAGCCCCGAAAAACCTTTTCTAAATTGGTCCCATTGAGAGCTCTTTTCTTTATCGGTTCCATTCACTTTCCCTGTGCTGAATTGCAGCATGTCGGTGCTGTTGGCTGCCTTGGGCACCCTTGGGCGCAGCCTGTGCGTTGAAAAATGTGCATGTGTGTGTGTGTGTGTGTGTCTGTACGCGCACTCAGCGGGCACACATGGCCGTTGCATCCGAAGCCTTGTAAGACTTCAACATCAATTTAGCAACTTTTGGGACTCATGTCCGTTCCCCGATGAATTCAGCATGTGCCTGCGAAGGAGCTGAGAAGGCCAAGAAGGAGCACAAGGTGGAACATGAGGAGCCCACGGGGCCTCGGGCTTTTGTGTGACATGTGCAATCTGCAAAATAGGGGTTCAATGCTGTAATATGCTGCGCTGCACTGTGCAGCCGTGTGTTCAAAGCTGCTTTGGCTCTTGATGAAGGCTCTTGGGACGACCGCAAAGCAGCGTCGTGAAAGCCGCCTTGCGCCGATACACCGATGTGCAATTCTGGCCTTCCACAGGCACCTACAGGCACCACAGGCGCCTCAATCGGCGTATCGTCGTATAGTTGTATTTTCCATTCCATGGGCACCCGAATGGCGTGCCGGCGTATTTCCCATTACATCCCCTGCTGCAAGCCCCTGAACGGCGTATCGGTGTATTTGCCTTCCGTGGCCCATCGAGCATTGCATCGGCTCATGGCACATCGGTGTATCGGCGCCTGGGGGAGTGGAGGGGCAGCGCAACGGCGTATAGGCATATCGGCGCGAAGCGATTTCACGATTTTTGCTGGTTGTATCGGTTGTATTCCACCGTGAAGTCCAGGAGCATGGCCGTGGTCGCGACGTGCACCAGTTGTTGCAGCCGTCGCAGCCTCACTTAGGCTGCGCACCTGTCCAGTTGTTTTCGAAGTTTTGTAGAATCCTCCGTGTGTTCTCTGTGTGTGACCGGAGTGATGCAGGAAAGCATGGAGCATATTCACATGACAAAGTGAGGAATTGGTCGGACGGTGGGCCTCCAGCCCTGGCCTCGTCGCAACTCACAGCTGTGAACAGAGAACGGAAAGAATAAAGTCGCCAGAGAAGCATGACATTTTTTTATCATTCTTCATACCATTCTGTTCTCCACCTGTACGCTACACCGAAAGCCCATCTCTGTGCATCCACACTTTCGAAGCTTGCCGATGCAAGGACCCGAGCCTAGCCGGTGCTCCTACGACGTGTGGTGCTGAGAGAGGCAAGACGCATCGTTCAGCACAGCCGGCGTCCGTGCACCTACCAAATTGATGAGTGGAGCGTTTTGCAAAGAAGGGTTGTGTGACAAGACTTGCAAATGCAAGCCCAGGGGAAGTTTAGACCACGGAAGTCACGAAGAGCGCATATGACGCAGTCGCTTCGTTTCGGGCTCATGCCTGACAACCAAGGCCGTACCCCTCCGCATTGGGATTCTTTCACGAGGCAGGAGTATGTTGATCCGTCGGGTTCCAGGGTACCAGGGTTCCCGGGCGCCAGGATTCCTCAAATGCCGCAGGGTGCCACAGTATGATCACAATGTGTATGAGCAAAGCTTGGAGCAATGCATCACAGCAATGCCCAGCACACCCGGAGGTCTTGACCGAGTACTCGCAGAGCCGGGCCACGGTGCGCTCAGAGAATGAGAGCTTGGCCATGTCTGCCCACAAGTTCCTGGGTACTGCAGCCGACGAGTCTCTACGATATATAGGGGGAGAGACATATACGAGAGACAGGCTACGACGACGCAGCTTTCTTTGTTGCAGAGGCATCTCCGCCCGCGAGTCCCATCTCGTCCTCGTTCTGTGGCAACCTCGACGCCACCGAGGCCACATGAGCAGTCGCTGGATGTTCGTCAGGCAGCTAGAGAGGTTTAAGGGGGGTTTGAGGGGCTTCAGGTGGCTTATGGCCTTGCAGCCCTCAGAGGTTACACTGCCGCCCGTTTCTCCTGGCGCTGGCTCCGGCTCGGCCACAGCGTTGAGGCCGCGTGTGGTCTTCTTGTCTTGAACCGTGAACTTGGGCCCTTTGCAAGACAGTGTTGCTTCAGGTCGCTGCGCCTTAGTGACAAGCGCTCCGCTTCCGAATCCCAACTGCGAGGCGTGCGGGACACCTGCTTTCAGCTTGAGGCTTATGCACGGGTGTACAAGACATCGGCGTGTCACCTCGCCTGCCTGTAATTGCAGATCTGGTGCACCGCCTGAAGTCGGCGCCCCGCATCAACCAGACGGACGAGGAGATTGTGCACAGCAAAAGCGAGCCTGGAAAGCCTTGGTGATGCAAGCGTGAGGCATCTGACAGACAAGTATTTCTTGGTATAGATGCTGCAGCATTGCAGACTCAATCCAAAAGTTGTGCGGAGGAGTTTGCAAGGAAGAGCTCTGAGCTTCATTTGGTATATCCAAAGATTGAGTGGTGAGCTCAGCCACATGTTCTCGGCACTTTTTTAAGGTGTAGAGTATACTCAATGGTCAACGGCAAAGCGAGCAGAGAGTTTGCTTGTAGTAAGAAGTAAGTTGCCTTGCCTTTCGACTCGTTGTGTAATGCACACGTGCGTGGAACAATATGAGCCCAACGCCCACCTCCCGCGGGCATTCTACTCACAGCATGTTCTGAGCTCCGACGGTGCCCTTCTTCGGCGATGCGCCACTGCCCTGCGGGCGATGAGTCTGAAGTCGGCTGTGCCCGACGTGATCTCCAAGGGTGGCCCTGTGTGACCTCCTTGATTCTATTTCCACCTCAGTCTGCGGGCCTCGTTTTTTCAACCGATCTCTCGAGCATCCAACCGGGCCCAAGGACCCCAAGGCGGCACTCAGGCAGCTCCCAGCTGCCGACGCGTACCTCCTCCCTTTCCTGCTCGCTGCCCCGTGAGGTGACGGTCAGGTTAGCTGTTAGCTGGTGGCACCCCTCTATCGCACGCTACGCCACGCCAAGGGCTTCGGAAGGGCAGCGGACAGTCTTCACATCTTACCGGCTACCGGCCTTCTTTCGCAGACACCCTGCCCCCTCTTCTTGCCCAACCCCCCTAAACCACTCTATGTTCCTCTTACTGGAGCCCCTCTGAAACCTCTGACGGAGGGCCGATGACGCTTGCGGCACCCCTGAAATGCTCTCAGGGGCGCAGCCGGGAAGAGCGTGGGTGGCTGTGGCCGTATGTCACAGGTCGACTGCTTCCTTATTTCTTCTTCCTTCCATATTTTGTTGGTATTCTTGGGGGGAAGATTGACAAGACGCTGTACTGAATGGATACTGCTGCATAAACTGATTCCGGCATCTGTCATCTACGTGTTTTTCTGATGGCATGCACGTCTGCCTTGCAGCTTGCCGAGGGCAAAGTGGCGGAAGGAGTTCTTTGCGCCAGCCACTCAAAGAGACAGAACACCCCCTTACTCCCCCTTGCTCTCCATTCCCCTTTCTGTCGCAGAGCCCGGGAGAGACTTGTTGCACCCAGGGAGCAGCAGCGACTGGCACAGCGCCGGGCGGACATGGCCACGGAGTGCTTTGACCGCCCTGTGCCAAGCAATTGTGAGATGTAATAGTCGTTTGTTCTTCCATGTGCTTACTTTCTCATTCCCAGGCTTAATCATCGAGGATGAAGAGAAGTATGAGGCCAGCACAGTGTTGAGCCGGCAATGCTTCCAGAGTGGTCCGGTTCACGGCACTAGCGGCATTAGCGTTGCTACACTGAGGCCACAAAGCTGCGGGAAGCGATGCATCAACTCTCCATGGAGGCCAACACCCCAACATGTGCTTGAGCCCCCTTGTTGCTACCCTTCTTTTGGGAAGACCCTAGAGTGCATGTGTACTCTGCACCCGAGTGAACGTCAGGGTTTCTGATGTGCACGTCCAGCACAGCCAGAGCATGCGCCTGACATCCTCACAGCTACCTTTGATGCTTCTCTCGATTTAGCTCTGAGTTACATGAGATGAACCGCACGTGACAGTGGCACATAAAGGCTGCCTCGACGGGGTAATCCGAAGTCATCCGAGTTTAGCGATACGATTCTACATCGAACATGATTTTGTGTGAAGCCCGCATGACGCTAGATAGAAGGTACAGTGCCGAGGCACAGCGAGAAGTGAGAACTGCTAGCATCTGGATGTTGAAAAAGTTGCAGCATGCGGCATACAGGACGATCCGACGCGTCCACGCCGTAGCGCCACCCCGGCAGCGGTGCCTTTCTCCTCCGGCACGCGATCGAACGGGCAGCTGCCTCTGGACAGTTTCTGGAAGCAACTGCCTGCCCGTTGTGGAGTGAGGTTCGACAAGGCCACGTCTAGCCGTGGCTTTGCATCAACCATGCGTGTGAAGCTCAGCTTGCCGAGATCTGGTCGAGGTTGTCTTTAAAGGGCAGAGGTGAACGGCTGTGCCGAGCCTTGGCAGTGCCTTGGCCTTCTTCGTAGCACAGGTTCGACCACATCGCGTGTTAGCCACGCCGACCGAGAGGCCAAAGCTCGTGCAGCGGCCCGCTGGTGTGCAGATCTGCTCCTGTCGTTTACTATCCCTCAGGAGGCGGCCAGAGACAAAGTGCTTGGCACTAAGCGCGACTTCGAGATCCACCGGACTGAGGCAAAAGCGTTTGTAGCGCTTGTAGCGCTCGGGCTCATGCAGTGCAAATCCTACCAGAAAGGTGCTCACAAAGAGCGTGGAGCACGACCGGGCCTTGAAGGAGTGGGCAATTCCGATGCGCTCTCTTACCGGCACCGTGATGCTTGATGCAGTGCTGCGTTGGTAGCACTGTTCCGTACTGAAGGACCGGGTCCTCGAGCAGCAGGCTGCAGTCAAGTGGAGGCAGCCGGACGAGAATGGAGTCGGAGAGCCTGACTTTGCGAAACCCCGAAACCCTACATGCTCGACATGCTCCCTCGAAGCTCAGACCCTGAAACGCTGGTGTCGAAGTGCCTGCCAGGATGGCCAGCCGACTCTTGGAGGAGCGGCTCCGCTGGCGCCTGAAGTACAACCAGGCCAAGGGCGTCATGCTGCCAGGGCGTTAAGAGCAGCGGTCTAGGTTCAGTCAGGGCTTATGCAGCCAGCTTTCTGCCGCACTTCGGGTCCACTACAGAGCATAAACTTGTTTCACCACTCTTGCCCCCCAACGTCCTATTAAACTTCGGCGCATGTGCACATGCTGTGATTTTCCTTAGACATCGCATTCTAGTATCCCCAAAATCCGTCAACTTGTTTGCGAGTCTTTATGATCATGCTCATAAACCAGATTGCCCCAGAAAAGGAGCAGTCTAACTGGTATCTTAAAAGACTTCAAGCACCCGCTCCATCCGAAACATGGAAGCACCACTCCTTTTCACGGAAGCTGGCTCCTTGGAGCATGCGAGAGTTGTCATTTGCCAATCAATCACTCTCTCAAGTGTTTCAGGTCGGTCAAAAGGCGACCGCGGGCCTTACGTGGTATGACAATCAAGTAGTTTAACGGGCTGCGGCTGCGAGGACCAACTCGATGTATCCAGTATTGGGTCCCGACTTACCAGTTGGATACGCTTACGTTGCTAGTCTCCCGCGGATTCTGATCGTCATCGCCAGCGCTTTTAATCTTAAATGGCATCATGGTACCCAGTTATACATATCACCATGGGCCGTCGAAAGAACATCCGAATCGGCCAGCGACTTGAAAGATCTTGAAAGCTGGCAGGTCCTTTCAGGAAACGAGGAGCGAGAGCGGCAGAAGATGGATTTCTTCGAGCGTCGCCAAGAGCAGCAACGCATGAACCCTGGAAAGGTTTGCCAGTGATCCTTGTACGTATTTGAATCTGTTTGTCACATCAAGCAAGCTGGGACTACTGTATAACCCGGGCTGGAATGGGATATGTTTTGCTCTGCGAGGCCAGCAGCGGGCACGCTGTGACGACTCTAGCGAGATACGCAAGGTGGCTGCAGTTTCAAGCCGCAGCTCAACACCTGCGGTCACCAGCATGCGTTGTTTCAAGCTCGTCAAGCTTCATCGTGCAGGAGATTCGCCATTTGCGAGATGTTGGCCGAAAGCTGAACCAGGCAGGTCAGGGACTTCGCACCAGCGGCCAGTGGCAAAGGAAAAACGAAAGGGGTATGCTTGGAGTTGGAGTTCATAGCCCAAGTCTGCCTTAACGTGGCAGCCGCTTGCCTGCTGCCTTTCTGGTTGCATCTAAGTTGTGCAGCCATTGCGTGATCGCCGTTGTCAGGCCCAGCGCGAGCGGAAAGAAGCATGGCGGCAGGCCAAGAAGAAGTTCAGAACCTAGCAGCAGATCTTGCAGGACATAGCTGGAGCAACGCAACATCAGCGCTCACGCGCCCCGCCTCGGCACGGCCGAGTCAGACACGTAGTAGAGGGTCCAAAAAAGCAGTCCTTGGGGGGGTCCACAGGTGGTTCGTTGGAGTCCAAGTCCACAGGGTACAGGGTGCCCATAGAAGGTCCATCGAGGGTCCATCGAAGGTCCAAGGAGATCGTAGCTGGATTTGGGCCTGCACTAGAGTAACTAGCCCAAAAACATTTTAGACAATCAAAGATTATCGAAGTGTTGTACTGATGTCGTGTGTTAGTTTGGTGTGTTGTTTTGTTGATTTTGTGCTGGCTTATTGTTTGACGGTGTGGCGTGTGATGTGTTTCATGTGCTTTGTGTGCTTTGTGTGCTTTGTGTGCTTTGTGTGCTTTGTGTGCTTTGTGTGCTTTGTGTGCTTGTGTATGCGCGCGCGTGCATATGTGTATGTGTGTGTGTGTGTGCGAGAGGCGTTATGTTTGGTGTGTTTTGGTGTATTTTGGTGTGTTTGGGCGCGTTTAGGTGTGTTGTGTTGTGGACCTCAATAGGGGGTCCATTGGGATCTGTAGGGGTCCATGTGCAGGCTGAGGCGCGGGGACCATGGGTCTCTGTGCCGCAGAGGGGGAGAAAGGAGGTGGAAGTGGGTTGTGGTTGTAGCCCCCCCCCCCCCCACACCCAAGGCCCAGGGCCTCGGCGGAGGTAGCGTTCCACATTTTAGCATTCCACATGTCTCCGGTGCTTTGTGAAGGGCTTGGCATTCGTGTGCCTGAGAGCCTAGGCGGGAAAGCTTGGAGAAACACTTCGCCCACGTGGGACTGAAGATGCCCACGCCCTTTTCACCTATGGCCGCTAATTCCAGGTAAGGTATTTTGAAAGTGTTCTCGTAGTCTTGACAGGATGGCTCGAATAAACAAGCTCAGAAAGGTGGCTCTCTATTCGTGTGTGGCCCCCACTTCTCTCGGAACATCATTCAATCTCGGCATCCCAAGGATGCCCAGCCTGTCCGTTCATTGCCAGCTCCGTGCAAGCATGTGTGATTTTACTGTTGTTGGTTGTTCGCTCCTGCTCCATTATGCTGATTAGCAGGCTGTTGAAGCACGGTATCAACACGATCACAGCACCGTTCATCGTGCCACTGGCATGCTCCTCGCAAAGCGAAGAACGTGCTTTTGGTCATTATTGCTCTTGCAAAAAGCAAATCTGGCAAGTGACGGCGTCGTAGTGTCAACCATCTGTCGAATAGAGCAGCAGTCTGGCTTCCAAGCCTTTTCTTGTAAATTTCTCGAGCTTTTCTGCTGGTAGAGCCGTTTGGTCGGCTCGAGAGCCAGAGTTTGGGCTCGGGTGGCTTGGCGCCATGGCGCACAAGTCCAACCCCTACAAGAAGGCTGGGGGTGGACTTCGGCTTGCAGCTTGGTGCGATCTGAAATGCGCTGGACCCCAGGCACGCTCGAAGTTCCGCTGGAAGTGGAAGAAGAAGCGCACACGCCGCTTGCAGAAGAAGCGCCGAAAGATGCGCCAGCGCTCGAAGTGAGGAGGTTTGGAAGAGTACCTTGCTGGCATGCGACTCAAAACCCAGTTCCTGGTTTGATGCACGCCCACCAGTGCAGGTTGTGGCAAGAAAAGCAAGCAGGCGCCAGGCATCACGATACTGTACAAGGCCCTGCTGTCCGATGTCGCACGTCGGATGTTCAGCTTGTGGCTTTTTAGGGGCCTTTATTCAGTGACCGTCATGTGCCACTCAGGCGCTGCCCCCTCGAGTTGGCGAATGGAGCATGATGGAGCATGGTGAGTCGTGTTGAAAGGTGAGTTGCAAAGGGGGCAAAAAGAAAAGGTGCTTTGTCTAATTTTGTCTACCGTGACACCAGCTTGGGCGCGTTGGGATTGCCTTGGGATGGCTGTAGGATTGGCTTGAGACCCTCAGCGAACCTCTTTGTACAGAATCCCAGCATAACTGCCATGATCCGTGCGAGTCTCCTGACTTGCCTGGCACTTTCGTCAGCCCGTGCTTTTGAGGATTGGTGTGGCTGGGTTCCTATCTCGATGCGGCAAGAGGTTGTCGGCTGCACAGGGGCCAACATGTCTCTCCAGAGCAGAATGGAAGGCTGCACCAACTGGTGTGAGTGGGTCCCAGTTCTCGGCTGGAAGTATGTTGAGGAGTGCAGGCTTTGCATCAACGCCACCGTCATCATCACCAACGTGACTGCCTCAGAGAAGCCTCGGCCGAGAGGATTGAAGACCAAGCAGCTGAGCGGAATGTTTCCAGACTGGTGTCGCTGGCTGCCAGCTGCATCATTGAAGTTCGTGGCTGACTGTGCGGGCTACGGCAGCTATGGTGGAAGTTCTCGAGATCCAGCTTCAGTTGCCGGCCCGGATTGTGCTTCATGGTGCCAGTGGGTGCCGCAACTAGCTTGGGCGGATCCACCCGACTGCCGTGCATGTGGGACAGTCGAGAGCTCAAGTGACTCAAGTGACACCGCATCTGTCCCGACAGTCCCAATTTGGTGCAGCTGGGTTCCCCCACTGGCATTGAAGTACGTTGATGCCTGTACCGGCTCGAATGGAGCCCTTCCTGCACAGGCGGAAGGGTGCACTTATTGGTGTGTCTGGGTATCAGGGCCTGCTTGGCATCACGTACATGAATGCCATGGATGCTCCAGTGTGGAGAACGCCACGAATGCCACAGACAACAGCAGCCTCGAGGAAGCAGATGTGGTGAAGCCCGCGGACCTAAGTGGTATTGGCTTTGTTGGAAGTGGCCTTAAGGTCAAAACCTCGCTCAAAGCCATAGGACCTGATTGGTGTCGCTGGGTGCCGGCAGGGTCTCTGCAGTATGTTCCTGATTGCACGGGCTACGATGGAGGCTACGGCTATGGAGTGGGGAGCCCCAGCGCAGCCCGAGGCCAGTGTGAAAGCTGGTGCCAGTGGGTGCCTCAGCCGGCTTGGCAGTATCCTCCTGGCTGTCGGGGATGCTGAGACTCCGCTCCGCTACAGTGTTACAGCATGTTCCAGGGTCCTATGTACAGTGGGCTTGCCGTTGCATGCCCTGCAACAGACAATTGTACAGCGCTGCGAGCAACACAATTGAACATGCGGCAGACTTTTGGGCCGTCTCTGCGGGCGGATATGCAGAAATCCGTGTTCGAACCAACAAAAGAGCCAGCAACGAGCAGCACTGTCACTCGAGCTTGTTGATACGTAGATCAGATCCTGTGTTTCAGGGCAATTACCCAGCACAGCTTGAGTTGGTCAGTATGTGTGTCAAAGACATTTCCAGAACGATGTTAATTCCGCTCGATGCCTAGGGCACGCTGGATGCTCATGAACGGTGTGTTGTGGTGGTTCTGGGGCTGGTGCTGGTGCTGGGACAGGTTTCATGCAAGGATCGATGCAGGGAGAATGAATGATGAGTAGAGTATTGTTTGGATTCCTTAAAGAGCGGTCTGCCGGTCTCAGGGTCTCAGGCCCAGATTCTTTTCTCAGTTGCACTTTCTGCTAAGCCGTACGCAGCCAGACGCGGGCTGACGCCTGACCTTCCTCAGCCGAAGAGTTGCTATTGAATGCTATGGAGGCCCTTGTTGGGGCCACGCCCGCCAAAGTCACCGCACTGCGGTCTCCGACCCGCCACCTCTGATGTACCTACTGGGCCTGAAGCGGGCATGGCGCGGCGCTGGAACTCACAGTCGAAGCTACCATGTGATCGTGGAAACTTCCCTTGTTCCCAGCTTAGGGCCTCATGCTGGATGGAGGGAGATCAGGAATGAGTCGCTTAGGTTGTTTGCAGGATGTGGCAAATGCCGCTGAGTCAATGTCTTTGTGGAGTTTCTAGGCATCAGAATCTGCACATCTGATGCCTCAACTGTCCCTGGTCTGTTCTTTAAAATGTTGCGGGCAATGTGAGGACTGGACATCAGCGACTTGCTAGCAGATTGCTGCCTCGCTGTTCTTTTTTCCCCACCTGAGGCTTCCGTTGAGGACGACTGCAAGATTGGGCAGTGCTTCAGGCCGTGTCTGCTCTGTCTGCATAGGATGTTCGCCAGTAGCAAGACCTGCAAGATAGCGGTGCTGTGAGCACAGCAAGACCCAGTGGCTTATACAGAACATCTAGACACTAGCGCCCGTCAACCGATGCCTTTGAACCCTGGCTTGCGGGCACACCGCTGAGATTGGGAAGAACAAGAAGGGGGAGGGGAAACGGCAGGGCGGAGTAGTTGAGGGGGTGGGAGGCCTCCTTTGGGTGGGTGGGTGGGGGGGGATGACCAAATGCTGGGTCTATTCCTTCAAGCGCCTGTGGGTCAGAGGCCAAGGCAAATTGATTTCCGTTGCACCACTTCGTAAAGAAATCCGACTGAGCAGCTGGGGCAGCTGCTGTGGGCGCAACATTCTGGGCCCTATCACTGACACAGGCACTTGCAGCCGTTGGGTACAAAGAAGCCAGGGTTAGGAAGTGCAGATCTTGAAGCATAGCCATGGCGATGAAAATCCTGGCGTGGCTGCCCGTGACGGCTTTCGGCCACTCTTACCTGGCCTCACCTCCTTCCCGCAACTTCCTGGCACATCAGGCAGGCCTGGAGGACTGCCCGCATTGCTTACAGTCAGGTGGCCCTGACAATGTCAAGGCAAGGGGAAACGGCGTATGGCCCACCCGCTTGGCCCCAGGCTCTCATGGGCTCTGCGGAGACCCTGTCCAGGGAAAAAGCAACCCTGTGAGACTGGAGGATGAGACCTACCTAAAGGCTGGGGCTGTGACGGCAACCTACCAGGCAGGACAGGTGGTGGAGTTCCAGGTGGCAGTGAGCACCCATCATCAGGGCCACTACGAGTTCCGCATCTGCGACACGGGGCTGGACTCATCTTTGACTTCGGAGGCAGAAGGGCAGGCATGTTTGGACAAATGGGTGTTGCAGCGTGCCCCGCCTTTGGCGGATTGCGTGGTCAATGACCCAAGGGGTGACTGCCAGCCCCTTGATCCAAAGCATCCGGAAAGGTGGTACTTGCCGCCGGCAGGCTCCCAGACGCAGGTGGCTGGGCCGGACTTCGACGACTCCATGGCACCAAGTTATCCATCCTCAGGAGAAGTCCACCGCATGAGGTTCAAGATCCCGGATGGCTTGCAATGTTCCAAGTGCACCCTGCAGTGGTACTGGTCCTCGGGCAACAGCTGCCTCTATGATGGTGACTATTTCGACTACTACCGCGGTATCGCTGCCCTTGGATGGGATGCGGCGGCATGGCAAACCAATGTCTTGGCAGACTGGGCAACTTGCGAGAACAGCTGCTGCCGAACCGGGGGCAGCTTCGGTGAGGAGTTCTGGAATTGCGCAGATGTTCAAGTTACGGCAGGTGGTGGCAGCGGGCCTGCACCAACGACGACAGAGCCAGCCACCACGAGACCTGCTTCCACAACAACGACGACAACGACAACAGCAGCTTCCACCACGACCACCACGACCACCACGACCACAACTCTTTCCAGCGTCACATCCACAACCGCCTCTCCAGGTGTTTGCCAGAAAGTTTGGGGGAAATGCGGTGGCCGGAACTGGGGTGGCCCAACCTGCTGTGAAGAAGGAAACATTTGCAATTTCCAAAGCGTCTGGTATTCACAGTGCATACCTGCCGCGGCTCTGGCTGAGATGCCGGACCTTGCTCACGAAGGTCATGACATCAAGAAGCACAGACGCTTTCGTGGAAGCAGCTTCCTGCAAGATGGAACCCTCTTGGACCAAACGTCGGCAGACGAAGAGCTGTGAGTCGCAATGAAGCTCACCCAGCCTCTGCACTTAAAGTTGCATGTTGGCTCATACAAGATGGTTTTCTGTACAGTACAGAGCTTCTGCCGCTCTGGAGGTTGCAAACTCAAACCTCAGGAACGGCGAAGTACTGCTGAATTCACTTTTTGTTTGTGCTGCGAGCCTGCGATCTGCAGACGCCTGAAGCACAGATCTACAACCAGTCCGGAGGCACCAACAACTGACCTCCGGAACGGCGCAGCATGGTTAGCTAGACTCAATTCTTGCGGCTGCCGCATCGGCGCCGAAACTCTGGCCGCGGCGCCGAAAGCATGGTGATTGGGGAGAGGTGAGCACAGCAAGACTCGGTGGCTTATACAGAACAACTAGACACTAGCGCCCGTCATCCGGGGGCCTAGGGACCCGGGCTTGCGGGCACACCGCTGATTGAGAAGAAGACGAAGAAGGGGGGGGGAAAGGGGAGGGAGGAGTCGTTGAGGGGGTGGGAGGCCTCCTTTGGGGGGGTGGGTGGGGATGACCAAACGCTGGGTCCATTCCTTGAAGCGCCTGTGGGTCAGAAGCCAAGGCAAAGTGATTTCCGTTGCACCACTTCGTAAAGAAATCTGACTGCAGCAGCTGGGGCAGCTGCTATGGGCGCAGTATCCTGGGCCCCATCACTGACACAGGCACCTGCAGCCGTTGGGTGCAAAGAAGCCAGGGTTGGGAAGTGCAGACCTTGAAGCATGGCCATGGCGATGAAAATCCTGGCGTGGCTGCCCGTGACGGCTTTCGGCCACTCTTACCTGGCCTCACCTCCTTCCCGCAACTTCCTGGCACATCAGGCAGGCCTGGAGGATTGCCCGCATTGCTTACAGTCAGGTGGCCCTGACAATGTCAAGGCAAGGGGAAACGGCGTATGGCCCACCCGCTTGGCCCCAGGCTCTCATGGGCTCTGCGGAGACCCTGTCCAGGGAAAAAGCAACCCTGTGAGACTGGAGGATGAGACCTACCTAAAGGCTGGGGCTGTGACGGCAACCTACCAGGCAGGACAGGTGGTGGAGTTCCAGGTGGCAGTGAGCACCCATCATCAGGGCCACTACGAGTTCCGCATCTGCGACACGGGGCTGGACTCATCTTTGACTTCGGAGGCAGAAGGGCAGGCATGTTTGGACAAATGGGTGTTGCAGCGTGCCCCGCCTTTGGCGGATTGCGTGGTCAATGACCCAAGGGGTGACTGCCAGCCCCTTGATCCAAAGCATCCGGAAAGGTGGTACTTGCCGCCGGCAGGCTCCCAGACGCAGGTGGCTGGGCCGAACTTCGACGACTCCATGGCACCAAGTTATCCATCCTCAGGAGAAGTCCACCGCATGAGGTTCAAGATTCCGGATGGCTTGCAATGCTCCAAGTGCACCCTGCAGTGGTACTGGTCCTCGGGCAACAGCTGCCTCTATGATGGTGACTATTTCGACTACTACCGCGGTATCGCTGCCCTCGGATGGGATGCGGCGGCATGGCAAACCAATGTCTTGGCAGACTGGGCAACTTGCGAGAACAGCTGCTGCCGAACCGGGGGCAGCTTCGGCGAGGAGTTCTGGAATTGCGCAGATGTTCAAGTTACGGCAGGTGGTGGCAGCGGGCCTGCACCAACGACGACAGAGCCAGCCACCACGAGACCTGCTTCCACAACAACGACGACAACGACAACAGCAGCTTCCACCACGACCACCACGACCACCACGACCACAACTCTTTCCAGCATCACATCCACAACCGCCTCTCCAGGTGTTTGCCAGAAAGTTTGGGGGAAATGCGGTGGCCGGAACTGGGGTGGCCCAACCTGCTGTGAGGAAGGAAACATTTGCAATTTCCAAAGCGTCTGGTATTCACAGTGCATACCTGCCGCGGCTCTGGCTGAGATGCCGGACCTTGCTCACGAAGGTCATGACATCAAGAAGCACAGACGCTTTCGTGGAAGCAGCTTCCTGCAAGATGGAACCCTCTTGGACCAAACGTCGGCAGACGAAGAGCTGTGAGTCGCAATGAAGCTCACCCAGCCTCTGCACTTAAAGTTGCATGTTGGCTCATACAAGATGGTTTTCTGTACAGTACAGAGCTTCTGCCGCTCTGGAGGTTGCAAACTCAAACCTCAGGAACGGCGAAGTACTGCTGAATTCACTTTTTGTTTGTGCTGCGAGCCTGCGATCTGCAGACGCCTGAAGCACAGATCTACAACCAGTCCGGAGGCACCAACAACTGACCTCCGGAACGGCGCAGCATGGTTAGCTAGACTCAATTCTTGCGGCTGCCGCATCGGCGCCGAAACTCTGGCCGCGGCGCCGAAAGCATGGTGATTGGGGAGAGGTGAGCACAGCAAGACTCGGTGGCTTATACAGAACAGCAAGGGGTAGGGGGATTGGGAAGGGGAGGGAGGAGTAGTTGAGGGGGTGGGAGGCCTCCTTTGGGTGGGTGGGTGGGGGGCGGATGACCAAAATGCTGGGTCTATTGTGCATGTCGAGCAAAAAGGGTAAGGCTCATGAGCCTGCAGGCGACAGTGGCCAAGCGATCTGTGCTTGGCTCGGTGGCTCGTGCACAGACGGGAGCGCATCCTGCTCGACAACGACCTTTAGCAGCAGATTTCCATTGCAAAATGACAGCTCACATCGGGTTTGCACCTTTGTTGCACATGATGCGAAGCTGTTCCAAAGCCGGGCACCACGCTTGCATACCGAGCTGCAGAAGGGGCAGCATCGCTTCCCGCTTTCTGCAGGGCTTCGTGCTCAAGAGCCAAAGAGCAGGGCTCGGGGGGCCTGGGCGCCATGGCGCACAAGTCCAACCCGTACAAGAAGGCCAAGCAAGCGTCAGACGGGTGCAGCAGACTCGGATCAGCACAGTTTCGCAGGCTCGCTCGAAGTTCCGCTGGAAGTGGAAGAAGAAGCGCACGCGCCGCCTGCAAAAGAAGCGCCGAAAGATGCGCCAGCGCTCGAAGTGAATGACCAACGCCGCATGGTTGCAACTAGGCTGTTTCTGGTCGCGGCGTGCTGTCTCCCTGAGCCCTCATGTTAAGCCAGCTCCCTTCGAATTGCCCACCTGCCGTGCCAGGACTCAGTATCCGGTGGACACGTGGCTGGGCCTTCTGCGAGTTCTGTGCCTCAGCACAAGTTGAACCATCTTTTGGCAGACTGGCCGGAACAAGCCCTGTGCGGCAGAGTTGCTCGCTCAGGAGACTTGAGGAAGTGCTGGGGCAGCGGAGCCTGTTGGACCTAGTGACTGTGCTGCCAGGGTATCAGGCAAAATGACAGCTCACATCGGGTTTGCACCTTTGTTGCACATGATGCGAAGCTGTTCCAAAGCCGGGCACCACGCTTGCATACCGAGCTGCAGAAGGAGCAGCATCGCTTCCCGCATTCTGCAGGGCTTCGTGCTCAAGAGCCAAAGAGCAGGGCTCGGGGGGCCTGGGCGCCATGGCGCACAAGTCCAACCCGTACAAGAAGGCCAAGCAAGCGTCAGACGGGTGCAGCAGACTCGGATCAGCACAGATTCGCAGGCTCGCTCGAAGTTCCGCTGGAAGTGGAAGAAGAAGCGCACGCGCCGCCTGCAAAAGAAGCGCCGAAAGATGCGCCAGCGCTCGAAGTGAATGACCAACGCCGCATGGTTGCAACTAGGCTGTTTCTGGTCGCGGCGTGCTGTCTCCCTGAGCCCTCATGTTAAGCCAGCTCCCTTCGAATTGCCCACCTGCCGTGCCAGGACTCAGTATCCGGTGGACACGTGGCTGGGCCTTCTGCGAGTTCTGTGCCTCAGCACAAGTTGAACCATCTTTTGGCAGACTGGCCGGAACAAGCCCTGTGCGACAGAGTTGCTCGCTCAGGAGAATTGAGGAAGTGCTGGGGCAGCGGAGCCTGTTGGACCTAGTGACTGTGCTGCCAGGGTATCAGGCAAAATGACAGCTCACATCGGGTTTGCACCTTTGTTGCACATGATGCGAAGCTGTTCCAAAGCCGGGCACCACGCTTGCATACCGAGCTGCAGAAGGGGCAGCATCGCTTCCCGCATTCTGCAGGGCTTCGTGCTCAAGAGCCAAAGAGCAGGGCTCGGGGGGCCTGGGCGCCATGGCGCACAAGTCCAACCCGTACAAGAAGGCCAAGCAAGCGTCAGACGGGTGTAGCAGACTCGGATCAGCAAAGTTTCGCAGGCTCGCTCGAAGTTCCGCTGGAAGTGGAAGAAGAAGCGCACGCGCCGCCTGCAAAAGAAGCGCCGAAAGATGCGCCAGCGCTCGAAGTGAATGACCAACGCCGCATGGTTGCAACTAGGCTGTTTCTGGTCGCGGCGTGCTGTCTCCCTGAGCCCTCATGTTAAGCCAGCTCCCTTCGAATTGCCCACCTGCCGTGCCAGGACTCAATATCCAGTGGACATGCGGCTGGGCCTTCTGCGAGTTCTGTGCCTCAGCACAAGTTGAACCATCTTTTGGCAGACTGGCCGGAACAAGCCCTGTGCGGCAGAGTTGCTCGCTCAGGAGATTTGAGGAAGTGCTGGTGCAGCGGAGCCTGTTGGACCTAGTGACTGTGCTGCCAGGGTATCAGGCAAAATGACAGCTCACATCGGGTTTGCACCTTTGTTTGCACATGATGCGAAGCTGTTCCAAAGCCGGGCACCACGCTTGCATACCGAGCTGCAGAAGGGGCAGCATCGCTTCCCGCATTCTGCAGGGCTTCGTGCTCAAGAGCCAAAGAGCAGGGCTCGGGGGGCCTGGGCGCCATGGCGCACAAGTCCAACCCGTACAAGAAGGCCAAGCAAGCGTCAGACGGGTGCAGCAGACTCGGATCAGCACAGTTTCGCAGGCTCGCTCGAAGTTCCGCTGGAAGTGGAAGAAGAAGCGCACGCGCCGCCTGCAAAAGAAGCGCCGAAAGATGCGCCAGCGTTCGAAGTGAAGAGGCGAAAGCTCCAAAGTTTAAAGCAACACAGCTGAGAAATGCTGAGAATGCATTTGCAGAAGTCTCCAGTTCGTGCTTGGTGTGGCAATGCGTGACACCTCTAACTTGTCATTTGCCTGCAAGGTTTTGATCCTTGTCGACTTGCAGACTGTCTGAGAGGGGCAGAGAGGGAGCTGTTGGCTGTTGGCGAGAAGGCCACATGCGCCGGAAAACAGGGGAATGGACGACAGAATGGCTATGGATGCGTGCGCAGCAAAATCAGACCAGCAGTTTTTTGTTGGCAGCTTTGCGTCTTGCGCACAGTCGGCATCAGCCGCAGGCTTCGGCCACACTTATTCAAGCTGTGCGCACTGGAGGAGTGCGACTTGAACCTCACGATCTTGCGGTACTGAGCCCTACTGAGTCTGACTGCGTCATGTTGGTTGACTTCGTAGTGCATCTTCCAGGAAGGTTGCTCACGGCTGTGCAACACAGCCGGAAGCTGCCTGCTGTGATCTGCATACGATCTGCACACCCTGAAGTCAACAAGCCTGACATGCCAGGTGAGCTGTTTTGTTTCACGGCAGCCTTGCCTCGCTTCGTAAGCTTGGCGCGAGATGAAATGGAGGTCCTTGAAAGTATTGTGGGTTCCGGCTCAGCTGAAGATTTCTGCAGACGGGCGTGACTTATTTTAGCTGGAACTGGTGGCCTGTCTCGCAGGAAACGTTTGCCGTTCTCGACAGGACAACCTGTAACAGCAAGGCATATTCAAGGCCTGCGAGCATGTTTCCGACATGGTTGTAGCGGCTGTAGTGTGCAAAAGTACGCTTGATCGACAAGAGCTTGGTTCTTACGGTACCTGGGCTGTTCATTCGCCCATCATGTGGTGCAAGTGCTGCGAACCCGAGCAGCAGGACCTGGGAGCTTGAAAGGGCCCGCAGTAGCTGTTGGGGCCCATGCGGCCCATTAGCTTTTGTCGCTTCCGGCCGATGATCAGGAGCCCCTTATTGAAGTAACCAGCGTCGAGATATTGCAAAGCCGAGCTTCGCAGAAGAAGGCCAGCGTGCACGTCTTTTCGCTAGAACGCTCAGGGACTGGGACCCTCAGCAGCTGGGGTTCGTCATCCAAGGACGAGCAAGCTATTGGGGATGTGATCAACAAGAAAGCAGAGTCAGAATTCGTGGCCCTTTGGCTGGCAGATTCCACCCAATCTGGGGCCTCGTTTCAGAACTCAGTCGTCGCCGAGTTCAGGAGCCACAAGTGGCCACAGCGCCCCCTCCACCTCAAGAGGAGGCGCGCTGGCAGTGCCCCACGAGAGAGAGAGAGAGAGAGAGAGAGACACCGAACCAACGTACCGCTCCAAACAGGGGCGGGCGATGACGCCCGGGGGCTTCGGCCTCCACGCCCTCCGAAAGAAAGAAAGAGACAGTGTGTGTGGAGATTAGAAGAGAGAAGAGAGAAGAGAGAGAAGAGAGAGAAGAGAGAGAAGAGAGAGAAGAGAGAGAAGAGAGAGAAGAGAGAGAAGAGAGAGAAGAGAGAGAAGAGAGAGAAGAGAGAGAAGAGAGAGAAGAGAGAGAAGAGAGAGAGGAAAGAGAGAGGAAAGAGAGAGGAAAGAGAGAGGAAAGAGAGAGAGAGAAGAGAGAAGAGAGAGAAGAGAGAGAAGAGAGAGAAGAGAGACGAGAGGGAAGAGCCGGGCTTCAGAGTTTCTTCCTTTCGTTGGGTCTGATTTTTCCGCGAACTGTGGGATCTTTGGTGGCTCCGAATTTCGCTCTCTCCTCGCACCCACAACATGCTCAAGAAGCAGGGGATGAAATGAATGGAATCTGTTCAATGATGTGTTTTTTGAAGGGTCATTCTGGCTCGTTCTCCAAGGCATCCAAGGCCGAAGCTGCCAGCAACATCTTCCGAGTAACGCTGGAAAGTCGAGGCGGCCGAGCTGCAGGAGATTGGATTCTAAAGGAGTGATGGCAAGTTGAAGGAGAGTCCTCTGAGTGTTTTCGGGCTGCCAGTAGTGCCTCGATGCTGCCTGCAGATAGACGTTTCCCACGCGAATCAGAGCATTTGAGGTGATACAGGCCTCGTGCTTGATGACTTGGGTCAGCGAGGTGTCGAGCTCAGGTTATTAGCTGGGTTGTCGGCAAAGTTCTTGGCTGGTTGAGAACGGCTTTTCATTTCAAGTTCATGCTCAGGCCTAGTGATAGCTGCTCTCAACAAGGGGCCTGCGCAAGATCTCGGCACACTTCAAGAATATGTTGCCTGTCAGCAGGACAACAAGTTTCTGTAGCCTGCATCACTCAGATGCTCAGTGCACATGTTCTTAGTGCCAGCCAAGGATTGCATTCTTTCTGTCAATGGAGTGGACAACGATGTGGCTGGTCAAGATTAATTAGCGAGTGAGCAGTCGGCCACGTGTGAGTGGCATGTGTGCCCACCATGTAAAAACAGGATCCCGGTTTCCGAATTCGATCAACTGAGCCTTGTAAGAGCCCGGCCAAGACGAACAGAATGTGGGATATCTTGGAGACGCCTGGCGCGCTGACGCTGGCCGTGCTGCGGCCAATCGAGTCTTGGCTTAGCTTGGCCTGAATGAGGTTGGCTGCCCCTGACACAGCATGTTGCATCTGGTTGACGAGATTTCAGTGCAGACATCCTGGGCCTCGCCTGGCTTTGCTGCGAGGTTCTTTGGGTGAACATAGGCTTCTCTAGTTGCAAATCTCGAAGCGTTTCAGGCAAAGACCCTCCGAGTCAAGAAGTCCAACGAAGAGCCTCTGGGCATCCACATGAACTTCAAAACTCTGTCGGCAGGGCTTCTTGGCCTGTTGCATCCTAGCTCTGTGTGCGAGATGTTTTCCACTCCACGCCATACGGCGCGCGTGTCCTTTGCTTGATTGCTGTCGTGGCGAAGACAGGTTGTGTTCCGTTCATCTCGTCTCCCAGGATTGTGCTGGAGGACATCAAGGTTGAAGGATGCTCTGCTGAAAGCAGAGGGGGGCCATATGCCCGCATCTGCCCGCATCAGTCCGCATCTGCCCGCATATGCGCACATGGGCAAAAGCAGATGCGAGCAGACCGAGCCACAGAGCTGAGGACAGTTCGCAAAGTTCTTGGCTTCCTTGCCTGAGGCGCCAGTTCATGCCAGCCTGTTTTTTTTTTTTTTTGTGGGGGGGGGGGGGGGGGGGGGGGGGTGGTTTGCCATTTTTTTCTCCTGTCCGCTGAGGGCTTGGGACATTCTTGGCCATCGTAGGTCCTGTGACCTGTGATTGCTTGAGGCTTCTCGTGTCATTCCCGGTGACCGGATGGTGGCTGTCAATGGCATTCACATGAAAGGCCCTCTGCCCTATGCCAAAAAGTGATCTAAATTGTGAAGCTGAGAGACCTCCCTCAGGGATACTTCATGAAAAGTGCTACGTGCTGCAAGGATGTTTTCCGATCATGGATCCAACAGATGAAGGTTCATCTTGTGTGCTAGCTTTGCGACTGAGTATTCTCTCATGTCTGCCAACAACTCTACGGAGTCTAGGGCACTTCCAGCACAAGGACTGTTCGAGTGAATGTTGTATTGTCAGCTGCATCGTTACCTGAACAACCGGGCAAGCTGAAAGAAGAAGTGCATCGTAGCACCGAGCGAGGACGCTAAAGTGGTTTGCGGTTCCCGCATGCCACGACGACAGACTTGTAGCTCTCTTCACTTCACACTTGTCTGTGTCCTGCTTCTGCCTGCAACACTTGAAGGCGCTGAGATGGTCGAAGCGTTGAAGAAGGACCGGGGTGACCGGCTGGGGATGGTTGGGGTGGGGCTCAGGTGGGTCTCTTGATGTGAATCTTGATATGTCAAGATTGTGCATGTCAAAATGTCTCAAAATGTGTCAGCACGCAGGAGACGGACCTGGAGATCATAGCCCTGCGCTACTAAGGATTGGCGGACGCGATTGGCTTCTGAGATGCGGCCGACATTGGTTTTCCTGTACGAACCCGGCAGTCCGAGGTCTCTTTGGCCGTTTTCCCGATCTGAGCTGCAAGCTGAGCGGTAACCGCAAGGGTGCATTCTTGCAGCTTGGTGTCTATATGTACCCGTAGGTCGTTCTGATGTCGAATACGTAAACAAGAACTATAGCATGGCCGGGCCCACTTCTGATATCAAACTCACATCAGACTTCACTTGCACAGTTGCGACGAAGTCGCAAAGCTGGCTTCTCTTTCAAGCGGTTGGAGCGAGGCTCGTTGACAAGTCATTTGGCAGCGTGGCTCGGGCTGAGAGAAAAGGGCGACGAAGGCGCCCTTTTTGCAGCACAAGAGAAGTATTTACTCTCGAGCCGCTTGGCGCGAGCAGTAGATGTGATGCTCACTTTGGGAAGGTGTCAAAGATCCCAGTCGGAACTTGCTGAAGCACGTGTAGAAGTCTCACTTGGCAGAGAAGGAGAGCAAAGGTTTGGTTGAAGACGCTCGTGTCAGCAACCGCTTTCTGAGGGAGCTGCCGCAGCAAATTTATCATTTCTATTCTGGGACCCCTCTTACGCAGATACCTTGCTAAGTAGCTTCATTGCAGAGTTGTAGCCTGAAGTTCAGACAATAACCTTCCTACCGAGCTCCTGCAGCCATGCTGTGCTGCTGTGGTGTAGAGGAAGAGGAGCTGGAAGCGGAGATTGCATGCTCGCCACGCCGCGTCAAGCTTTGTTTTCTCGTTGGCTGCAGGAAACGGTGGAAGAGGCACCTATTGTGGCTGTGCTGGGTGGATCCGAGCCGGGCGAGCTCGTGAACAAAGCCGCCCCGCAGGCAGGAACGGCTGGGACGCGCACCAAAGTTTGGCTGTCGCGAAGTAAGGTCTCTCTCTCTCTCGCTCTCTCTCTCTCTCTCTTCGTTTTTCTTGTTTTTTCTCTCTCTCGCTCTCTGTCTTTCTCTCGCTCTCCTTCACAGTCCATTTGCGGAGCCCGGCTGGTAGATCCCCAACACCTCACACTGAGTCAGCTCGAGGCCACATGTGATCCGAACAACGTTTGGAATCAGGTTCTCCAGACGCCTGCGCTGGACAAGGTAGGCCAGAGCACAACCTTTACCGTCACAATCGAGGCGGGCGCTCTTCGCAATTCTGTTTCCTCGAAGCTGCATGGTGGGGAGCGAAGGCCACCAGGGAAGCTGGCCTGGTGCTGGACGACCTGAATTCGCAAGGCGTGACGTGGGAAGTGTTCCTGAACCTGTATGTACACTGGCTTGGAGTCCTCACTTACCAGGTAGGACGTCCCTCATTCCTGGACATAGTTCATGTGTGCTCTTGTTCCTGTGGTACTTCCAGGTCCTGTTATCGCCAGCATTCCGGAGGGTGCCGTGTATGACTTTAACACGAAGTTTCCAGACTCGGCCATCTGCCCCAACGACGCTTTGCAGGAAGGACGGTGAATTTAGGGTCAAATGCCCTGGAAAGAGCCTTCAGCTGAGTTCACCTGAGCTCTTTGACACTGGGTACCAAGTGTAGTTTGTTCTCCGACCTTCTAAGAGTGGCAGCCAAGGATCTCATTACGTGCGTCAATGGCATCGAGGGAGATGCAACTCATTCTAGCATTCGCAGATGAAGGCATGGGCATTGCCCTCTATGGCGACATAAGCTTGTGTGCCCTTGTCATCCGAGTCGCTGCGTGTCGTAGAATACCGCAACAGTGTCGTAGCTTTGTATTAATGAGAGATGTATTGGCCAATCTTTGGTGCTGAGGTGAAAGCTATAGTCCAAGCACTGCAGTCATTGAGCAACGCGCCGATGACCTTGAAGATCCTGCGACCTCAGGAGTTTTTGACCAGAAGGTCTCTACATCCACGTAATGGTGGCCAATGTGTGCACCATTTTCGCACACTTTTTGTTCTGCAGGAGGTAAAGATCTCTATGAGCAAGAAGCCCAATACATCCCTGGGCCTGCAGATGAATTTCACCTCATTCTCTGCGGGGTGGCTCTGCCGAGTGACCAGTGTCAAGACCGACTAAGTACTTACTTTCTTTTTGCCAGACCCTTGGAACACTTCTGCTTGTGCAGGGTCGTGGTGGACATGATCTCCGAATCAGGACAGTCTCGTAGGATTCATAACCTTTGGCCCCACTCACTTCTACGCTTTTACTTAGACACCGTGCCGTCAAGCCTTGTCCATGAAGCTGCTCGGAACATAGGAGTAGCTCACGCCTGGAACCAGACGCAATCGGAGGCTTGCCCAGCGAAGCGTGCAAGGTTGCTGGCATTGGAAATCTCAAAATCCCGATAGCTAGCAAGCTCCATTGCTAACTTGACCGGATGGAGAGAATCACGCACCTTAAATGAAAAGTCACGCACCCCGCTTCATGTATTGCAACCACACTGCCAACACCTGCTACTTTCGCTCCTCGTCTGCAGGCAGACAAGCTGCGACGAGGTGATCGCCTGGTGGCTATAGATGGACAGTACCTGAAAGGCGGAACGTGGAGGAATGTTCTAGGGAGGGAGGCTGCTCCGATGTGGTGCTCCTTGTGACGAGGTGAGGAGATGATCGATACCCTCAAGAAGAAGAGGGATCAGGATCGTGGGGGTTGCAACGCATGCGGTTTTGCTTTCACATGACACCACCAAACAGCAATCAGAAGTGATCGTACGGCAGAGCCGCTTGGTCGGCTCGAGAGCCAAAGTTTGGGCTCGGGTGGCTTGGCGCCATGGCGCACAAGTCCAACCCCTATAAGAAGGCTGGGGGTGGACTTCGGCTTGCAGCTTGGTGCGATCTGAAATGCGCTGGACCCCAGGCACGCTCGAAGTTCCGCTGGAAGTGGAAGAAGAAGCGCACACGCCGCTTGCAGAAGAAGCGCCGAAAGATGCGGCAGCGCTCGAAGTGAGGAGGCCGCATCTCTGATAGCGGGCACTGGTAGACAACAGCAACCTGCATTGAGCAATGCTTAGAGCTTGTGGCCAGGTTGCTGGAAGTGATCGTCGCCTGCGCAAAATTCAGCAACAAGGAGACAGCCCCTTGGCGAGAAAGGCGTTTGTTTTTTGGCTGCGTGATGGTAGATCTCACTGTGCTTCCGAGTTTCTCTTGGGTGAATGAGATGCTTGGGCTAGATGCATGGGGCGGCAGAGTGGCACGCTTTGTATAAGCGGCTGACTGAGGCTGCTTGGACCTGCAACCGAGAACCAGAAGAGCAATGGCAGCACCTGACCCAACGAGCGCTGGGGCAAAACGGATGCGGACCGCTGAGCAAGCTGGTGTGCGACTGTAACCGCATGTTGCGCCAGCTGGGTCGAGCCTTGGTGCTTGTCGGTGAGCTGACAGACTAGGAAGCAAAGCAAGACAGGGTTTGACCGTCAGGACACCAGAGTGCACGAGTGTGCGAACGTGTCTCAACCTTTGCTCTTGTCCAGATTGTCGTACTAGTTTCCTCTTTCGTCATTTCTCTGTTGATAGTTCCGACTTTGTATTTGCTGTTTCTCTAAGGATAGTTGTACTGTTTTGGCCGCTCAATGTGGTCCCTTACCTTTCCTAAAGGTTTTTTCAGGGTTCAGGGTTCAGGGTTGGAGGTTTAGGGTTGAGGGTTCAGGGCAGGGCGCCTTGGGCTGTATGGGGTTTACAAGGTGTATATAAGGGCTCCCCAATTAAGAGCCCATACGTGGGGCCCGTGTTACTACCCTCAGAGTTTCCGACTTTGCTCTCCCTGCTTTGCAGCAGGGTCATTGGGACACATCCTTGCCGCAGAGCCGCTTGGTCGGCTCGAGAGCCAAAGTTTGGGCTCGGGTGGCTTGGCGCCATGGCGCACAAGTCCAACCCCTACAAGAAGGCTGGGGGTGGACTTCGGCTTGCAGCTTGGTGCGATCTGAAATGCGCTGGACCCCAGGCACGCTCGAAGTTCCGCTGGAAGTGGAAGAAGAAGCGCACACGCCGCTTGCAGAAGAAGCGCCGAAAGATGCGGCAGCGCTCGAAGTGAGGAGGCCGCATCTCTGATAGCGGGCACTGGTAGACAACAGCAACCTGTATTGAGCAATGCTTAGAGCTTGTGGCCAGGTTGCTGGAAGTGATCGTCGCCTGCGCAAAATTCAGCAACAAGGAGACAGCCCCTTGGCGAGAAAGGCGTTTGTTTTTTGGCTGCGTGATGGTAGATCTCACGGTGCTTCCGAGTTTCTCTTGGGTGAATGAGATGCTTGGGCTAGATGCATGGGGCGGCAGAGTGGCACGCTTTGTATAAGCGGCTGACTGAGGCTGCTTGGACCTGCAACCGAGAACCAGAAGAGCAATGGCAGCACCTGACCCAACGAGCGCTGGGGCAAAACGGATGTGGACCGCTGAGCAAGCTGGTGTGCGACTGTAACCGCATGCTGCAGATCTCGTGGTAGCTCTCGAGGTTTTGTACGAAGGCCATTGCAGGATTACTGTTTGTGCCCCCTTGCATGTTTTTTTGTTTTTGTGTTTTGCCCTTGGCGGTGCTTTTCGCGCTGCAGCTTCTCCAGCAGCATGTGATGCCCGATCAAAGATGGCACTTCAAAGACATTGGCTCGAAATGGTATTCGCCTGCAACTTTTCAGAACCCAGTCCATGAGCTCTACCCACCGCACCCTCAATGACCTCCCAACTTTTTCCCACACTTCGAACTTCGAACCCCTTTGAGCTTACATACCCGTAGCATCCTGAAGCACATGTGCGTGGCCGACACCTAGCAGCAAGCAGGCCCTGACCGGATGCTTACGCTTTGGTATGGTTTTTTGGCTTTGGCGGGTTTCGAGTGAAGGGTTCCGGAGCATCTTGCGACCAGGATGGCTTCTGAACCACGGAGGCTGCCGTGCCCGGAGGCCGGGACGAGGATCCTCGTCGACTAGCGGGGATGGGTCAAAGTTGAGCTTTGCCTGTCTCAGGCTTCGCGCTTGGTTCAAGTTTTGCCTGGTGAATCCTGCACTCACCATGACCCAGCGACTAAAGTTGTACAGGTTTTCAGCCTCAAGTCTGAATGCTTTAATAACTCCAACGCAGACAGGTCGTGCATCAGCACCCGTTTGAAGCTGAACATGTGTTGAGAACTCGCAGGGAGGGGGCATGTGCGCAGGGAGGTCCTTGCATAACTGTTGCAGCTGCCCTAGATGCCTTTACCAGCAAGTTGTGCGAGCTTACTTTTGCGAGCGAGCACTCACTTGAGCACTCATTGAGCACTCTGCGCAGCGAATCATCGACATGGTCGGCTTCGCCTTCGGCGTCGGCACACTGGGGGGCTTCGGCAACGCTCCCAGGCTCTTGCACCCGAGTCAACTTAGTGCCCATTGACCCCTGACATCCCCCCTTGAACCCGAGACTCCAAGGCATGACCTTCACTCGCAGCCTCAGAGATCATCCGAAGGAGATTTTTTTGTGCACCCCGAGCTTCCATCTGCCCCTCTCAACTCTCCCATTTTTGCAGCTTGTTTCGGGAGCTCGCTGACAGGGCCACCGCTTCTCTGGCGCATTAGCAGCCGTGGGGCGCCAAGATACACTTTGCCGCTCTTTGCTCGTTTTTGTTTGCCGCGTTGCCCTTTGGAGGAGGTTCAAGGTGTTTTGTCTGGCGAATGGGAACCTTGCTTGGATGACAGGCCCAAGCCAGGGCGCCCCAGCTGGGCAGCACCTTCGCGTTGTGGCAAAGATCTCGGTGAGAGGGCTCGAGAGGAGAGGTCCCCGAAGGTGTGCAAGCCTTTTGCATGAGGGCTGCTGTCTGCGTCGCTTTTGCGCTTTCATTTCCATTTGCGGATCCTGTTGGATGTCGTACGCTGTAGAACGTGGTAGACGGCCAGAAGCCGGCTCCAGACTTGACCTTGACGAGGTCGGGCTTATTTCACGCCTTCGAGTGTGCGGCTGGGCCCTTGGACCTGGACGCCACACCGGCTACCCAAGCTCAACCTCCAATAAAGTGCAGTGCAAGCGGCTCTGGCTCTTGCTGCGCTATTCTATTTTGTCAAGCCGACACGTAGCACGCCCGTCCTGCTGGAGATGTCGACGGCGCCAATCAAGCGGCCAAGGTCTCACAGAGGCATCTGGACCCGCAAGGACCGGCAGCGCGAATGTAAACGGAGAACGGCACAAGGTCGTGGTCAGTGTGCAGAAGAAGCAAAGGAGTGAGCCCTTCTAAGATGATCCAGTACAGAATCACCCTGAGTTCGAAAGGAGCTCGGTCATCGATTGATGCAGCGCCTGTAGCTTAGCTGGGATAGCTCTCCACGAAGCGCTTTTTTTTGGCGATCTCTCCAGGGACGGCTTGTGCAGCCGCATGAAGTGCACTGGCCAAAAATCAGATGGTGGCAACATCCCGGCGTGCAGGTTATGCGGGTTCCTGACGGCCGGTGTGCTGCTCTGAGATACGATAGAGCAGCTTCGTTGCTTCGAGACCCTGCTGTCACAGCCTGCGGTTCCGTGGGGTCTCATGCAGTATTTCTGTCACAGAACATAGTGCTTGTAGCTCGCGACGACGAGCCAATCTACAAGCAGCAACTTTGATTCTCGTCGTGCGCTGCAAGCTGCTGTTGTTTGCCTTGTTTGCTTTCCGTTGCTTTCCATGATGTCAGGTGCTGTCCATACGACAGGGCCCGCGTGTGGCCTCCATGAACGCGGCAGCCCGGGCCTTCGAATCGCCACGCATCTCTGAACTTTCCTGAGCTTAAGGTGGGGGCTCGGTTCTCATTGCTCTCGTGTTGCTCGACTTGAGGTCGGCGCCTTCTGCGTGGCCTTGGTTGATGTGGTGTCAGGCCCGGCTGCAGTGCAAGCAGCGCAAGGATCGAAGACAAGTGCACGACGATCTGGCATGGCTGCTGGTTTTGTGCTTACAGCAAATACACTGGAGAATCCATGCTTTTTCTTGAGACTGCTTCACATGGTTTAGCTCATGGTTTCTTTGAGTCAACGCATGCGATCTTGCAGGGACTGCGCGCCTTTGAGTTTGAGGGGCACCTCGAGCTAGACCAGCGCCACTCGTGCACCAAAATCGCCGGCCTGTGAAACTGTGAAACTTGGTCTGTGAGGCTCGTGAAGAGAGAGGGAGGTATCACTTTGCCGAGGGCCGAAGGGGCACCCTGAAGAACTAAGGGCTGAGCAGCTGAGCATGCTCACTCTTTCGACTGTGCCTGCGTGCAACATCGTGCAACCGATTCATGGGCGAGTGTGAATCATCCATAGCATGAGCGAGGCCTAGGACATTCTTGTCGGTTCACAGCCGAGATATACGAGTGGCCTTTCTCCAAAGGGCTCGCTGTCTTTGCATGGAGCTAGAGTTGCTGGGAGATGGCCAGGCATGCTCGTGCGACTTCGTGAGACATGCTGAGTTTTTTATGCAAGCCCACGCATACTGCACATTTCTGAAACTGCAACGCGCCCATCCTTACCTACAGCACCTTCCCCAGGCACGTACCTTCCCCAGGCACGCAGCTTCTGCTAACAGAGTGAATGTCCGTCATGATGTACCAATTGACGCGTGACGTACTTGTCCGGGCTCCAGTACGTCTCAGGCAAGTTGCACGAACGGTACGTGCGAGAGTACAAGTCACACTGGTTGAGGCAACGTCTTCCTGAAACTCCACAAAAGGGGTCTTTGTGCGACGCGTTTCCAAAACTTGTTTCCGCCTGCTTCCTGCAGCCTCGGGTTCTCATGGCGCTCTTGGCTTGGGCTTGTGCCATCCTTGGGTTGGCGGTTGTGCACCTTGTGCACCTTGCGCACCCTCTTGTGCACCGCTTCCCCTCCCTGGCGAGGGCTGCATGGTGTTGGCCCATGAAGGAACCTCGGTGTGTGTTGCCCAAGGTCACAGGTGGGGCGTGCCTTCACGAGGGAAGGGAAGTCTTGGAGCTTCGGCCGGGGGAAAGTTGTATTCCGAGCTGCATGACCGGGACCCTGGCTGGATCGTGCACAGAGCTGACATGTCCGCCTTCGGGCCCCGAACCGACATGCCTTGACGACCTGCAGACTGCAGCTTGGTGGAACCTATGCAGCTATGGTTCAGAATGCCAAGACGTACTCGAGCTAGGCACACCCAGATGGGAAACATTCGGCCACTTCAGCTGCGGACCTCTAGGGCCTTCGGCCTGCGAATCGGTGGTTGAGGGGAGCGCTGCCCCAAAGACAGAATCCATACTACAGAGCCTGGACACGGCCACAGTGGCCGCATTCTGCGTATTGGCCTTGATTGCCAGGTTCAGCCGATTGACGTCCGATTGTGTTTCCTACAGCTGGGTTCGCAGCAACTTTGCGCGAGCTTGCTGTACCAAGGGTTTCCTACACTGGTCGATGGCCAATGCCTTCGGAGTTCTTTCCATTGCCATCGTCTGTTTGTGGTTGTGTCTGCTGCCTCTTGCACACCGGTCAACCGGCACCGCAGCGGGGTTGAGTACACTCTTGACAGTGGCCTGGGCCTTTTCAAGAGCAGGAGTTCACGACTATGTCTTGATGTCTCGGGAGAATGCCTGGCGTATCCATTACAGCTGCGGGGCACTTACCATCGTCATCGGGAGCGTCCACGGTGCACTCAACCTGGCAGAGCAGGGGCTTCTCCGGGTTCTGTCGAGTCCACATTGGCTCTGTGGGGTCTTGAGCCTTGTTGCCATGGTCCTGGCTGTACTTCCAGCCACAGTGCGCACATTGCGATACGACCGGTTTAAGCAGATTCATTTCATGGGCATTGTCGGCTACATGCTTGCCCTTGCACACATGCTGGGCCACGCCCTGCACATGCGGACGCTGGCATCTGTCCTCATGGCAGCGTTCAGTGCCTGTATTTTGGTGTGGTATGTCGCACAGAAATGGTACGTTTATATGTCGTCGTGCCAGGTTGAAATACAGCATGCAAAGGTGACATCCGACAGGTCTGGCGAATACCTGTTTCTATCACTGGCAGCAAAAGATTTTTCATTCAAGCCAGGGCAGTGGGGTCACCTCTTAGCAGTTCAGGTGTCTTCGGTACCTCATCCTTTTACCTTGATACCGGGAGAAGGGAATGCAAACGTACAGATCTTCATCAGGACCCATGGTGAATTCACAGGCAAGTTGGCCAAAGCTTGCCAGGGTCCGGATCTTCCGAGGTTGAAGCTGCAAGGGCCCTACGGACTGTCCCGCGTGCCCTCGTGGGGAAGATCCGGAATATCCGCAACCTCCCGGACAGTCTTCGTGCTGGGTGGGATCGGGGTCACGCCAGCATTGTCCTTGGTTCCGGTGGCTGCCCAGAGCACTAAGGTGCCTGTATTCTGGTCACTGCGCAGCCCTGCACTTCTGCACAGGGTGACGCCGCTCCTGGAGCCCTACGTAGACCCTGCCAAAAGCCGCATACAACTCACGCTGTCGCCACAGGATCCACAGGCTTGCATGCAGGCTTGCGCCACCCTCAAGCCGGCCCACGACAAGTTGGATGTCAGCAGTTGGCTCGTACAGCTGGGCCAGGATTTCGCTCAAGAAGGCATTTCTGAGGCCATGATTTTTGTTTGTGGCCCGCCAGCCCTCGTTGCTGCAACAAGTGCTTCGGTGCGGCAGAATGCTGGCGGTTTTGTGTGGCACATGCACATGGAGCAGTTCCATTTCCTTCCTTCGTGCCTCTGGGGAAGTTCTCCGAGTTCCCGAAGGGAAGACCCACCAATACAGTGCCGTGATCCACAGATAGTTGGGGTGCAAAGTGTTATGCCCGGTGTGCAAATGGCACGTGGCGACCGAGGAGGTGCGAACACGACCTGCGCTGCCTTCTGCGGCCCGCGGCTCTCATCGCTGATGAGCTGCGGCACCTAAATCTCCAGTAGGGCTCTTTCCGTGGACACCGCGTGCCGCGTGCCGAAGCCCCACAGTTCCTGGCCAATGGACACCTGTCAGCCATCACTGCGCGAGCCTCCCATACGTTGTCACTCTCTGAGTGACCATCATCCACAGTAGAGGGATGATTCCTGGGAGTTCCAAAATTCCAGCATGCTCAAGAGGTTCTCTCCCTGTGTCAGAGTTCGCCCTGACAGGGATAAAGGCTTCACTGATTCGCCGAGTTGCTGCCGTCGCCATCAAGTTTAGATACGGGATTAGCCACAGCTGCTCCTTGGGCATTTGCTGCCTGTTTGCTTCCACATGGTCTTTGCACCTTATGGTGGGGTCGCAGAGGGCGCAGCGGGCCCCGCTTGGAAGATCTCAAGATTTCATCTCGCATCGGGCAGATTTCGCCCTTGAAAGAAAGGGCGAAAGGGTTGTCTGAATGTGCTCTTTTGCCAGCGTGCCTTTTTGGATCCGTGGGCTGGCCATAGATTCTCGAGGGCCTGAAGAGGCCCTAAACGGCCCAAAGCTCGTAAAGCCCTTGCAACATCCTTCCTGCTGTGAGTTCGAGATCTTTCCAGCCATCTCAACTATCTCTCTCGCTCTCTCTCTCTCTCTCTCTCTCCGTGTGTTTGTTTGTGGGGCTTGGTATGGCTCTAATTTTAATCGCCAAGCAGGCGGCAGAGGTCAGCACATAGGTCTGGATGTTCTGAAAAGACAAATCTGAGCCCTCATATGGGTCTGGTCATTTTGTTGGGGAATATGAGAACCCTTAAAGGTGTATATTGATGCATTTTGGAGGTATATAAGGACCAGAGTTTTCGCCTCTTTAAATCCGAAGCTCTCCAACAGTCTTTTGCCAAGTCCCGCGGCTTCAGGAGGTTTGAAACCCAATGCTGCCTTACACAACCATACTAAGCTTCATTAAACCCTGCAGAATCCAAAATATCCGGTTCGCATGATGGCGCCACACCAGTCCTGGCTCAAGGTAGATGTTTGGCAGACGCTAATTAGGGTCAAAAGAGTTTAGCGTACTGTTAACATACACTTGGCGCCCCTTAGACTGTTGGTTGGAAGCTGGCAGCCATGCTGGCGCTTCTCTCGCCGGCAAAGGGCTTTGAAAGCACGTGCGTTGCCACAAGGGTTGCACAAGCGAGAGAGGGTGTGCTCGTGGGCATCACGAGCTGTGCCGTCATGCCTTGCTTTCTCAGGCGAAGACGATGGACATGAGCCCCAGTGCGACCACCACAAAGTCCAAGCCAAGCTCGCTGCTCTCGAAGCGTACGGAGGACCCGTGGTAGGTACTTCTCGGCAGCCTTCTCTGGATTCGGTTGGGGAGGATCTGTGGGCTGAGAAGGGGCTCCAGTTTGGGCCCGCGGGCCCCAGGCTGTTTCCAGTGTATAGTGCAACCGCTTTGCGAAGCCTCCGAGATTCTGTCGGTGCCGTTTCATTGGATATATATATATATATATAGGATACATGTGTGTATATGTATACATGTACACGCATGTACACGTCAGATGCATGGAATGCACCGTGCATCATAGCCTCTGACCTTATTCTGTGCGCTCGGCGGCGAAGGCCTCGGCCAACGAGGGCTCTCGGAAACCGAGTTTCGGTTCTGCCCAAGAAAGAAGCCTTGCTTGAGGAGATCTTGGCAGCGTTAAAGAAGATGCCTGCCAAGGAGCTGAAGAGGTCAGCCCGGAGCAAGGCGAAAGGCTTCGTTGCCAGCTTTGACAGTGTACTTGCCAGCTGAGGATGATGAAGCTCAGTGATGAGCTGACCAAGCAAACTGCAGAGAGGCGGTGGCAGCATGTCCCTCGCCATGGAATCAGTGGATCATGTGTACTGATGTGTTGAAGCAAACGTGTAATTGATCGCAGCGCCAGCGCTCAGAGCATGGCGCAAGGATGCCAAGTGAATGTCAGCCATGTTGGAAGAGCCTGACCATTAATCGGCATGTGCCCATGTTGTCATATGCAGAATCCTACGGAGCTGAATGCCCAGCCCACAAAAAGCACATAAGGCAACACCAAGAGTGCGCAACGTTTCGAGAACTTTTGCTGTGGAAGAAGAGTTTGACATGCCCATATGCCTGGACTCTACGGGGACGACGTGCTGACCTCATGATGCTTTTGGATTGCCTTGTGTCAGACTTGAGCGGAGTCATTTCTTTGGAGATCTGCGCGTATTGCTGCAGGAAATCTAAGCCTACTGTAAGAGCTTGGAACTTGAGGTTTGTTTACAGCCTCTATGTGGAGAGCATCCTCCTGGCCACTTCCAGCATCGCGCTTCAGGGCAGAGAGGTGGACAACCCAAGACGGGCAACTCATGTTTGTCAATGCTTGTCACGTGGTCGCTTTGTTGACAAGCTGTGCCTCAGATGCTTCTCTTGGAGGCAGTTTGTCGCTGGACGCTCAAAGGAGTCGATGACAAGTCCACACCGTTCCTTCTGCGCACAGAGCTCGGTTGTGATCAAGTTCTCCCACTCGTGGAGTTTCGCTTGATGTTTAAGCCGATGCTTCTTAAGTTGTGCGATAGCATAGCAGCACAATTAGCTACCTGGCAGCAGTGGAGCGACAGTGGTGTGCTACCTCATGCGCCCAAGTTTGCGAACCTCACGGATGGCAAGGGTTCTGCTCCTTTGTCATTGTGCGTGGGGCCTGGCTGATTCAGGGGCAGAATCTCAGAATATCAGCATGATTAGCATAGCCTGTGAGCTATTGTGCTCGTGTGTGAGCTCATGTGGGGTTGGGGGTCGGGATGGCTTGGCTTGGCCCAAATCTTGGCCGCCTTGGCCCTCAGGTATCCGAGACACCGAGGCCTTCTTCTGAAAAGGTCCGCAAAGACGAAAACTCGAGCCCCATGCATGGGCCGGTATGGCCATAGTCCTTGTCATGCTACGCCTCTTGCTTCATTGTGTCGGGAGCCCTCCTACTCCTGCCTGGCCATGCAAGAGTTCTGCGTCATCTTCGTAGCAAACAAGCGCGACTTTGCGTGCAAGCGATGCTGAGCTAAGTGCCAGGTGAGCACGTCTCATGATCTACTCACTGCCGAGGTCGTTCCCAAACCCCTCACAGCGCTCGCTCTGTCTCCGGCATAGCGCTGAGTTCAGAAGTTGCATGAAGTTGCTGAGTTTTTGCTCAAGATGGAGAGAAGCATTGCTTGTAAACGCAGTCCGAGGCTGGCGGTGAGCCCGGCATCTGCCGGGCTTTCCTCGCTGCCTCTTGCAGCAGCTTGTTCTGAAACTTCGTTTGCCAACACGTAGCATGTTTGGCAGTTGGCCCTGTTCTGGTCATGTGGGGAGAAATAGGCTTGGCATTCAGTGTTCATTCTTCAGGTCCTGCAATGTGCTTAAGGGAAGCCGACGGAGAGAAATACCGTGGACGGAGAGAGGTACTGTAGCGTGGCAACACGTATCGGGAAGTATGGTGCATCTTCAGAGCTGATCAGCCGAGCTTGAGGATTTAGGGTCGCATTGATAGAGCAGCAGATCAATCAACCAGCAGCCTCACCAGCACAAACGGAACAGCAGCAAAGGTGCCAGTGCAAATACCAACACCGACTGCAACAGCAGGCACTGAAGCAGCTCAAGCTCCGCAGGCCCGGCAGCAGCAAAGAGATTTGGTACTCCAAATCCCCGAGGCGGACTTCGCCGTGGCCTTCGTTGATGTGGCTGATCTCAGCGGCGAGGAACGATTCAAGGCACATGGGAACGTCTTGTGTTGATCAAGCATGTTCATGCTGTCTGGTCTCCTGGTCGGTTCGAATTGCAGGCTAGGTTGCTGATGCTCGGGCTCAACAGAAGACCCTGCCTACCTATGTAGTTAAGACCACCGGACTCGAACAACTCTAGTTGGACAACAATAAGCATATTCAAGTTTTATGAGAGAAGTTTTCGGCCACTCGTGTCTCCACGAGTATAGAATTGGTGTTGAATGGGCAACTTGGATGTGGCTGAGGTGGATTTTCTGGAGCTCCGCAACTCAGAGCTTCAGGCGCGGGCCCCCTCTGCGTTCCGCGTCTTTCGGTGTGTCGCCCCTCGCCAGATTTTCAAGGCCCAAATTTTATCAAGTGCACAGAGGCATCACCCCTGGAAGTGCCCGCACCAAACCATCCAAGCCCAAGACGACACGGACCTTTCGAAAGTGCTGGGCAGCCCATGACAAGTTGCAATGCCTTTCAGAGTAAAGTGTGGCACACCCTTGAGAGCCATGCTCCGCCTTTTTCCTTATCCGTAAGGGGGTTTCCGAAATTAGGGGTACCTTATTGGGGTCCTTACTAGGGAATCCCACTAGTTGCGGAACTATATTTGGGGCCCCTTAGTGTCGTAAGCCCCCACCTGTTGCAGATAAATTCTCTCCCGCGCGAGAAGGTCGTGGCCGTGGCAAAGCTCCACTCCGCAGCACAGCGCCGATGGACCCCTGAGCCCACGGCTCCGCCGTTGCAGGCCATTTTTGGGGCCCCGAACCCGAACCGGATTTTTTGGGGCATTTCGTGTGCAAGCCCCAAGCAGCGAACAGGATTATTTTCTGGATTGCAGCTGGTCGGTCAAGACAAATGATCCGCTTTGGTTGGCACGGGGTTGGAACGCTCCCATGTCATGCCACATGAATAGAACAGATGCCTGCCAGGCAAAGTTCCTGGATTACACGGTGGACGCACAGGCTTGGGCAAATGCAACCGAAGTCCAGTCGTGCCAGGAAGGCCTTGCCCTCGCCCACCTAAGTCATGTCACCGTCATGGGAAGGCATCCCGCCTGCATGAACACATCGCCGCTGCGGCAGGGCTTGCTGGGGCCAAAGCAAAGGCATAGCGACGGGATCATGTTTTGTTTGGCACAAGTCGATCCTGGACTTCTACGCTTGCATCGGACACGTGTCCGTGACACGTCGCTCCATGAAGGCTGCCTCTCTGTTTGTCCCGTTCGGCTCCATTTCTCCGGCTTTTACAGTGTGTGCGGTGTGTGGTCAGAGGCGCTTCCTCGGAGGTTCCTTGGTTCCTTGCTTCCCCGGTTCATGGTTTGCATCCCGAATTTGCGTCTTCCATCCCACTCAGCCCCAGAAACCCTCAACGCTACGAGGAGAGGCCTTGAAGGGATCACGGTTGGCCCAGGCTGTGCACAGCCCTCATCGCCCAGGGCTGGCATCGGCGGCCAAAGCGAGGGACAGTGAGGGCACCGTAGACACCCCGAAGACTTCGCCAGACTTCACCACAACTGAGAGCTGCCTTTGCATGCAATGGAATGCAGCATTCTCGCACGTGAAGGGATTGTGATTTCAGGATTGTAGGCTGGCATTCTCTGCAAGAGGATCCGGAGACCACCGGTGAGCCGCCGCTCAGCAAACGCCGAGGCCTCAGTGGAAGGGGCGGGAGGGGTTCGACCCTGCGCACGTCAGAATCCTAAACCCGCATCTCCTCTCTCGGAGGGCAAACCGCGTGAGCCGAAATCATGTGCCCCACATTCCCCGAAGCGCTTTCCAGCGCTTGGAGCAAGGTGCCAATGGCTCGGAAATTCGGGTAAGGGATGAGGCTGGGCCTTCGGGGGATGTGTGAGGTTGGATGCTTGTGCGACTGCCAGAAGTGTCTGTCGGGCAGGTGGCACCAAAACCCCAGTCACAGATCGCTCTTCAGGTTCATGCGGCCCCTCATCCGCCAGCTGCAGCGAGGCCTTCGCTGTGCCCGATGCGTGCAGTATCCCAGCCTGAGACACCATGGACACTTCGCAGGGTGCCAAGTTCGCCGATGTCGCCTCCGACAGGCCCAGCCTCGACTGCCACCTGTAACCGTAACCCCCATGCCGAGATATGCCGAGCAGCTAGGGCTGTGCTTGTTCGCAGAAGTGGAGGTGCATACGAAGATGACAGGTTGCTGTGGAGTGTGGACCTGAGATGCCCTTGCACCTGCTGCGCACAAGAGGCTTACTTTGTGTGAACTCAGATCTTCTGGGCGCCTTTGGTTGCGCGCCAGACACACGCTGCAGCGGGGGACGTGGCTGTGGTTGATGCGAGCAAGACCTGACCTGCCCTCCAGAAAGCCTCAGACGATCTTGATATAGCCTCCTCCGAGGCTGCCGCTGGCCGGAGGACGACGGCGAGGTTGTCCGGCGGAAAGAGGCAGGGGCGAAGGGGAAACGGATCAGGTGCTGACGGTGCTTGATGTCGATTGGCTTTCCGGATGCTTTGTGGAGTCTTGAAGCCTTGAAGCCTTGAAGGTTGAAATTGCCTGCCAGTAGTGAAGCACAGGGTGCTTTTACCAAAATGGAACAGCCAACAAAAAGAGACCATGCCGTGGCCTCCAAGTTTTGTGGTGATTGTGTCCCAACAGCGCTTAAGGAATCTGAGCTGGGAGTGGAGGAGTGGATGAGGAGTGGATTCTCTCGACACCTGCCGCGATGAAACGGGTTGTTTGGAGGATCGCCACTAGGAGATGCTCGACACTCAATGTGGACGATTCACAAACGCGAAAGCAACGAGTCAGTGATGCCTCTGCGTTCAGGGGGCAGCTTACTCGCCTGCTCAGGGCATTGATGGGCTCATTCATGATTTGTTTTCAGCAGCATTTTGAACGCGCAGTTTTTGTTCCGAGTCGCGGCGAAAAAATTAGACCTCGATTTCTGACGCCATGATCCTGCCTTTGCTCGTCCTCGTGACCTCCTGGGCCGGCCTCGGGGCCGAGATGGAGTCTGACGATGAGTGCTTCATGCAAGTCCGAGGAGCCCGTGCTAACCGAACCTCCGTGACCTCCATAAACTTCACTCATGATCCTGCCCTGGATGGTAGCTACTGCTATGATCCTGCCGGCCAGCAGACCGCAGCATACTTGACCATTCGAGACGTGGCCACCCGCCAAGCATGCGAGCAGCTATGTGCAGCCGATGTCAGGTGCAATGTCTACGGCTGGCATGGGAGCTCCAATGCGGTGGAGGCCCCAAGCCGTTGCTACAACTGCGCGTTCTACGCCAGCTGCGAGTTTCAACGGGACTCCGTTTGCAAGGACGTTGCGCACACACACACACATATATACACATGTATGTATGTATGTATGTATGCATGCATGTATGTATGAATGCATATGTAAAAGCCTGCCATGTTCCTGCGTAGCAAGTCCTTGCAGGATGTGACCCCGCCAGCGAACTTCATCAAGGACACGCCAGACACGGCCGTACAAGTTCGTGCGCGGTCCGTGACTCCGGATGCATACCTCACTGGACACTACTGCTCCGGAAGCCAGGTCCTGGCTGTGGAGGTGGAGAATGAAGCCAAGTGCAAGGAGTATTGCCACAGCATTACCAGCTGCGCATTCATGGCCTTCTACCCAACCCACACTGTGCGGGAAGATGCAGACCCGAGCTCCTGCGACAGAAACTGTCGCCTCTACTCTAGCTGTGAGAAGCCAGTGCCATCTCTTTGCTTGCAGCCACCTTTAGTGAGCCGAGTGCAAGTCTTCCCCACGAGCTTGGTGACTTTGGATTGGAAGGTCTATCGTTGCTTTGATGGTGCTGTTTTGCTGCCGGTCACTGCGATCTCTTCATGCTCCTTGGTGGCAGATGACTCTCGGGAACCGGCCCTCGCCGCGGGTCAAACAAGCGGCAGAGTGGCATCCGTGGCCATTCAAACGACCGGCGGCGAGGTAATCACCACAGCCACCCATCGCATTCTGAGGTGCCCCGCCGACACCAGCCAGGACAGCCCCTCCCGCCAGAATGTCTTAAGACTTCCTGAGGTATGTAGAGGCTCTTAGAGGCGCTAAGCTTCGAAACTTCGAAGCTAAGAAGCTGAGGCTGGCTAGTTTGCAACAGAATCAGCGGGAGAAAGAGACATAGTACAAACACAGAGCCTCCAAACTAATAAGCTACTCCAAAGTCTGCCAGAATCTTAATTGTAAAGGCTTGCACGTGCCGCCTCGGCAGCCGGGCGGGCCCAGCGTGGGTGTTGCGTGCGCGTCACAGACCAAGGGTCCGGTCTCAGGGGGTCCCAGCGGGGGTCCTAGGGAGGTTCCAGGGGGCATGTTAGGGTTAGGAGGGAGGGCTTTTTTTTGGCATGGTCGGGGTGCACAACCTGGAAACCTCGCAGCATCGGATTGCGGCTCCTCCAAGCGGGTGGTGTACAGCAAATCCTTGGGCGAGCCCCACCCTTGACAAATCTTTACACTTAGTAGGTATCTGCAACTCGCATGGGAATCTACCCTTACACGGGCATCAGTCCACTGTAGCTGATGAAGATCCGGATCGCCACGTTTCTGCCTCCGCCGATCCCGCAGGACTGTGCAGTGGTTGTGGGTAGCCAAGATGGCACGCCTGGGAGCGACTTGAGCCTACGCCAGCTGAACCTTGCCGTGGACGCTTGGCTCAGGATGCTGTGGGATGGCCTGGGATGAGGTAGAGGGGGCAATGAATGTCTCAGGGTTGAACCGTGCACCATCTAAACCCAGAGCCAGACTTGCTGAACTCCCCACAACATGACTTTGTTGTGGTAATGTCATCCTCCAGCCAAGGATGTGACTTTGGATGCGCAAGGGAACTATGTTATTGCGGAACAGAACAACAACCGTGTTGTGCGGTGCCCCGCAGACACTTCTTCTCCATGTGTGGAGTTGCTGTCTAGCTTCTCCGTGCCATTGAGTGTGGCAAGGATACCCTCTTCAAGCAGCATTGTGGCTGTTGGCTATGCTGGGACTCGCCAGTGCGCCGCCGACAACAGTTGCTTCATAGTGAGCACTCCGCACCTTCGAAATGTCTGGAGAGTGGCTGCTTCGACGCTTGGTTACTACATCGGCGCCGAAGTCAACTCGGGCGTTTGGCGCGTCCTCTTCTGCCCCCTCCAACAAGAAGTCCAACCCGGAGTAGGCGGCCCAATCTGTGCGCCCCAAGAGATCAGCGGATCTGAGGTCGGTTCAGCTGTGGGACCACTTGATTTTGTGAGGACTGTGGCGGTGGATGAAAATGGCACCTACCTCTTAATCGGTGGTGTTGAGGCAGGCGTGACCAAGATTTTTCAATGCCCGATCCCTTCCAGCGGAGTTCCCACCCGCTGTGAAGTCGTGTTTTCGGCCAGCAGTGGGCTTTTGACTGGCGTGGAAATCGTTCCAGTCTCCTGATCCACTTTTTGGAAGGCTATCAGCTGCCCTGACGAAGTCAGGGGACTGCCGCCTTGCTATATTATGGCATAAGCCGGTTTTAAACGGACCATTTGCGCAAATGTCGCGAGCAAAAAAGGAGGTACGAAAGGGGGGGGGGGGGCGGAAAGGCCAGGAAAGGTGCTCTGCACTTCTTGATTGCCAACTCCAAGTTTTCTTTGGCAGCACCGCGAGCTCAGAGCACTTGTGTCGTTGAGGCCTTGCAGCCTCGGCCCCGTGGCGCCTGCAGTGAGGCAGCCCGCAGCACCTCTCAGGGCTTAGGGCCTGGCGCGCTGGGGGGGAGGGGTGGGAGGGGGTGCACGGCAAGTGGTTCGAAGTCCTTGCTCGGGTCCCGCGGTTTGATGACCTGTGTCAGCAAATGTCAGCAACCAGCTTTGCCTGTGGCAGAGCTGCTTACTTCACGGGTTTCCGTAGAGCGGTCTTGCTATGTGCGCTCGAGTACGCTGGTGGGACTCTTTTCGGAGGGTGTGCACGTGCTTGACATTGAGCTCCCATTCCGCCTCCTCGTAGTGCGCACAGCTTGGAGCCCCCCAGATCTTGCCAGGAAACAATCGACTTGCGAGCGCATCCTCCGAAATCTGGGGCCAGATGCTTTTGCAGCGAAGCAGCCTCTGACAAATTAGGGAAGCAGGGAGTTGAGGGAGCTAGCAAGGAGTGTCAGGGCACTGTGGAGCTTTGCCGCCACGGTTTCTGTTGCGAAATGAAAGCGAAGCTGTGAGGCTGCAGACTCTGCGCGAGGCGATCTTCCGAGGGCCAGGCCAGCTTGTTCGTGTTGAAGTCGTTGACCAACCCGGTTTGCTACAACGCAGCTCTCTGTGTCTCCATTCAGAAGCTCCACTACTTTTGGCGCCTCCGTTTATTGGAGCCGCCCGCATCGTTGCAGTCGCATTGCCGGGGACACTGCACTGATGTTCGCTGTCACTCCCTACTGTAGCGGCTCGGATGCTTTCAGGTCTCCCTAGATGCTTGAAAGCTTGGCTTGAGCGCGCTAGAAGTGGCCGATGGGGCACGAAGGTCCTTAAATTTCGCGGCACAGCTGAGATGCACTCTTTCGTTGTTTCATGGGTTCCGGAGGCCTGTCACAGACACAAGACGGTGATCAGCCGAGGAGAAGCAATGCATGTGACATGCGCTTGTTCTTTTTTGTCTCGCTGTTTTAGCAGGACTCGGTGGCATGCAAGTGACTGCAAGTGCTGTTCCCGAGGAGTGAATCAAAGTGAGCACGGGGTGCCGGGTGCCATGTGCTGCCGTTGTCCGGCTGCTTTGCTTTGGAAGATCCAGGCAAGTTAATGAACACAGTGTCGGCTGCAATGCTGAAGAGCCTCAGAGCCTCTCAGCCTCTTCGAGACCCATGAGGTTGCAATAAAGAGGGCTTGTTCCAAATAGATCCAGGTAGTGCATTCCCTACACAGAGCCGTAGAGGCATTGCAGGGTTTTACACTGCTAGCCGTAGGTTGAAGGGACAAAGTGCCCAACCACAACACTTAGGACGCGGAAGTTCTGAACACGGATGCTGGGGAAAGCAAACTCCCGATTTCCTACATGTCAAATTTTCAAAGGGTCTGCTGCTCTGCCTACAAGTTGCCTGGATGGGGATTGGGATTTTTGTCTCATCCACCGCAGATCCTTAGCTAACATGGAGATGATCTGTCAGGTTTGCTAAGTTCAAGGCGCAGCCGAGCAAGGCAGCCTGCTTCAACCTCAGCACACGGGGTGCCAAGCTTCTTGTATGGCCTGTCTGGGGCCAAGCCGTGAAGAGACGACAGGCGACAGGGTAGGGGACTTTGAAGAACCGCATCATTCCCCTGCATTTCCGGATCTACACATGTTCAACCCCTTGGCCTGGAGCTATGCGAGCTACAGGCGCCAACTAGAGTCCCCAGAATGCCTTTCGGCTGTCCCAAAACTCAGTTAACAGAGGTCTGGCCTTCGACGGCCCGGCATTCCGTGGTTTTGCCGCCAAGGGCTTCTCCAAGGCGGTCCTCCCGTGGTAGAGGCAACCCACACCAACACACGACTCCGCCTCCAAAGAGTTAAGGGAACTTGTCAGGCTGTCGGGCAAGCGGGGTGCGATTTTGCTCTGACTTTGAGACACACTGTGAGGCAGACGAAAAGCACGCGCAGAGAAGTGTGCGCATTTTGCACACCCCTCAGCATCGATGGTTATAAGTCGGCTGCTAGCGACTGGATTGGTGGCGCTTTGTGCACAAGATCGTGCGAGTGTTTAGGGCAAGGGCCCGCAGCCACAAAGCTTCCTCTCACGAACGAGTCACCTGTGTCATGGAAACACTGCCAAGGTGTGCGCTCTATGGGGTGACGCCTGCATTTGTTGCTACCGTCTGGCAGGTAGAAAGGCGCCACTGAAAACTGTAATAACCGACTTTTAAGGGCGTTTCGGGGCACATCATTATACTGTTATTAGTGCTCCATTGTCAACGAGAAGAATTCTATGAGCGCGTGAAAGAACATTCATTTTTCGCCATACTAATTTTGTATTGTCATGAGAAGTGTAACCATAGCATACTAAGTGCCTGTCCTAGTTATTCCATATTATTCCTATCTTTCCTCACTCTCTTCTGTTAATACGGGCTAGTAGACATTGGCGTAGCGCAAACGATGAGAAAGAGAGAGCGAGAAAAAACCGTCAACAAAAGAAATAAATCGGTTATTTGGAGGATATCATGATACCCAGCTTTATTGCTATTTCCTTTTCTCTCCAAATTTGAAATGTTCGAGGGAGGTGTCGTTTGCGCCGTTTTCCACCAAAAGACCCCTGTGAATAAGCAGAAAATTTAGGGGTCTTTGTCTCTTCCTAGGGACAAGGTGATCATCACAGTCTCAGCATCTAGTTCCTCAGTAGCGTCTAGTTCCTCGATGAGTGGGGTGTGCGCAATCATCAGGGTTTGACATCATGGATGTCAGAGCTGATTCTGTCCCTATGCTTGGTGGCAAAGTCGAAAGATGCCAATGCTCGTGGCAGGTCCTGAAGCCCTATGACCTGATCAGGCAGGGCACCTGGAAGTATGTGTGCTGGCACAGGCTTGAGAGAAATGGGCGGAAGGTCGGTTGGGCTTGTGACATCCGAGGCCATACCGTCTGGAAATGACTTCGAAACTGCGAGGCCGTCGGGGTCGCACTCAGTGGTGTCATGTGGGGTGTTCCGAAGATTCCGAAGTGAGCGTCCGCGCACCAAAGCCTGCCCTAAGGCTCCACAATGTACGATGTCTGGGGCGACTCCATCACCGATGCCCTGGCCAAGGCATTACCGTATGATTCGGGCAACACGGGCCTCCTCAAACGGCGTGTAGAGTCTAGAGCGGTAGTGGCAGCAAGAATACAACAGTCAAGCAGTGTTTGCAGCAAGAATAGTGGGAGGCTTCGCAATTTGCGGCGACAGAAGTAATGAGAATCGACAACAGCATGTCTGGGAATTCGCCAAATTCACCATAAACGAGTGCAAAGAAAAGATGAGGTGGGAGCATAACAAATGAAACTTTTTTAGCTTAGAAACTATACAGCATGAACAACGAAACGGTAAAAGAGTAGCAGCGCGCAGATTGCGTGGTCCAAAGTTTCACAGCAGGCTCTTACAATGTCTTGGATGGTTCAGGGACGTGGCCGCCTTTGGCTCCTCTGAAGGACCTCAAGGCCAGCAAAGCAAAGTTCCTGGTGAACTGCGCCTCCCAGGATGACTTCGGCTTGAGTGGAAGAAGGTGCTCATGTCCGCATACGCAAAACTGCAACACCAACCAGGAGTTCTGGAAGGCAGTGCGGCTCAGGAAGCTGCCAACAAGCAGCACCCTTGGAGCAGCAGATGCCTTGTGCTTAAAGCAGCAGCTTTGCTGTGATCTCTCACCTGCTGCAAGAAGTGTTTGAGGATCGGAGCCGTTGAGCAGTTTGGTCAGTCCCACGTAGGCAGGCTTCGAGGCACACTCATGGCGGCGTTGCTCACTGTCCTCCTTCTGACGGCACTGCACCAAACCGCTGCAGAGGGCATCCAGGCAAGCAGCTTTGTTGCACGGAGGACTGTGAAAGTGGTTCCGTTGGCCCGCTCCACAAGAGCTGAGCATGCATGTTGTGTGCGCAGGTCATCGCAGCAGGCGTCTCCCGGACTTCCACGCAATCGCTTTCGCTGGCCCTGGCAAAGCTGGGATACAAGACGCTTCATGCCGAAGGCCCGTGCTTGGGCAAAAGTTCCGATTGGACCTGTTAGTTTTCACGGGGAAATTGAGGCTTCCATCCGAAGCTGCAGCTAGCGTGGGAAGCACCGGATATTGTGGACCGCGTCACGAAGGCTTCCGTGCGTCAAGGGCAAGGACTTCTTGTAGCATCGCCTGGAGCCTTGTGATGCAGGGGCACGTGCCCTACTACTGGGGCTAGCTTTAGTCAGATATTAGATTTTGCAAGGGCCAGTAGTCGGCAACATGCGCAGGCAGCCCGCCGTTCTTTTGCCGAGCACAACTTCGAGGCAGGGTCTCTCAGCATCTCCGAGTGCCCCATACTTGATATTGATTTCTTGAGAACCATTGTTCAACGAGAGCTCACCGATCGCCTGCTGAAGGTGCTGGAGCCCATTCTGGAACAGATCGAAATGCTCAACGTCACCGCGTTGGTGGACATTCCCTGGTCTGAGCAGCTGGGCGCGCTTGCTTCGTTGCGGTACGTTTGCAGTACGTTGCCGTTGCAGTACGTTGTAGTTGATTGCATGCCTCTGGCCATGACAGTACAGAAAGAGAAGCATCATGACTCGGCATAAGTTCCTTTGGTTAGTCACACTGTCCTGGACAAGCTAGGCAGTGTGCTTCGGGGTTGACGATGCATGCGGAAAGCTGCGTGAAGCTGCAGTCGAGGGGAAGCTGAGCCTAGATGTAAACGCAGTGGCTATCGTGGCACTGGTGTTCTTGTTGTTCCTGAGGTATGGAGTCGAACTTCATCACCGATATCCCAACGCCAAGGTGGACCGTGCAAGAAGTATGCATCCACCATCAATGGGGAACTGTGCAGCTTTACAGAATGGCCGGTGGCCCATGTTTCAATTACGGCAGCAGGCGCCGATCTGAGAAAGCCAACTTGAGACATCCTCTAGCTGTAGAGACATGCGTGACGCAGGTTTTTGCAGATGTCAAGATATCACTGCGACCAGATGATGCCAGGTCATCGTGACAGTCCGTGAGAAAGAGTCCTGGCCGCTTGATTTGATCGTTGCAGTTGCTTGGTGACGTCTTCCCATGGGTCAAAATTGGATCGTGGACACCAAGAGCATACCACAAGGTTTCGCAGTTACTGGGAGCACTTCCGCTGGGGAGCCCTCCTTCCTCCACCTCCGAAGCTCAGCCACATTACGGAACCCAGGGAAAATTCAGAGCAGTCGGCACCGACTTGTGAGATGTCTAGGGCCTAGGGTGTTAACAACATTAACTTTCGGTGCGGTTAATGCTGACTGCGCAAAGCCTCATACCATGTTGAAAGGCACGTCAACACACAGCAGGAGGCACGAGCTTGCTTCTGCTGAGGTTCCCCTCCTTTCCCATCACACAGCCCTTCCCATTGACGGTGCTCTACCAACCCTTCGCACAGTGCCTGGGCGTTGTTAAGAAGGAAGGGTTCAAGACTTGTTGCGAAAGCCTGGGCCGACCTTTTCGGTCCATGGTGGCCTCCGACATCCTGCGAAGTGCAGGGTGCGGGTTCAGCCGGGTTCTGCTGATTGATATGAAGTGTCCTACTTCACGGCATGTTGCAGCACAAATTGGTGTAGGTCTGCGCGTGGGAGCGGGTTGCTGAGGTATTGGCGCTTGGTCTCGCAACGGCTTGGCTGCGGAGCGATTACGCGGTATCTAGGTTATGAGTTTCGGCGCTTTCAACCTTGCACAGTGTGTGTGTGTGTGTGGGGGAGAGAGAGAGTTCGAGTGAGTTTGAAACAACTGGTGCAAGGTTTCCGCCATGGCCAGTCTCAGACAAGGAGAAGCAAGAATGATGCTCGTCGGCATCAGACCTGGTTCAGCCTTGGCCATCATGCGTCAGCCGTTATGGTCTATGCGAGTCAGAGCTCAGCATGTCGATTTCGAATTTCACAGTTAGGCCTCGACGGGTTCGAAGACCACTTGCAACGACTGAGACAGGCCCCTTGCACAGTGAGAAGTTTGGTGCTGGCATGTGCTGGCGGTTTCAGAGACTCTGAGCGTTCCGGGCGCTTAAGCTATCACTCGGTTTGTTCAGACCCGACCGGTGCGCAAAGGGGGATCATGGGGATGGACACGGCTCTACATGTTCCCGGGCAATGGCTCCCAGTTGAATAGAACGGACCGCAGTGACCTTGCCACCGTCTCGGAGGCCGTCCCGCCCGACTCGCTGCTGGTCTACAACATATGGGAAGGCTCCGTCTTGTGCCAAGAAACCCCAAACGCCAAAACCCAAGCCCCAAAAGAGCCGGGAGGCTGGGAGCCCATCTGCCGCTTCTTGGGCCAACCCATCCCAGAGGAGGCCGAACACTAGAAGTGCGCAGAAGTGCACATAATGCTGGAACATCGGGGAACCCATGCTGTGCGCGATGCTTTGAGGGGAAAGGCCATGTCCACGCCCGCGAGGGTTTTTCTGGGTTGAGGTCACGCTAAGATTCTTCTAGAACTGTCTACTGTATGTCGGGGAACGCCTGTAGGGACACGAGGGAACGGCTGTGAGAGCAAGATGCGGTCCCATTTTGGCCCTGTTTGCAAGGCCTTTCCGCGGGAAGACTCGTACAGCTCGCTGCACTGGAAGGCGGCCGCTGTTTGTCGCTCCCTTGCTCATCCTCATCGGCCCCCGCATGGCAAGTGTAGAAGCGCAAGCAGCACAACGAGCCTGTGAGGAGTGTGTGTGTGTGTGTGTGTAGGACCTGAAGCTAAAGCTGAAAGTGGGAGGTGCTGGTGGCGGTGGCCATACGGGGTCTAAATCTCATGCCACGCAAGGAATGCTTAGGCTTTTGTCAGACAGTCTCTGTGCGCGTTGTGGTCTGTGGGGGTTCATCGGACATGAAGGCGTGATCGTAATTTTAACGCTACGCGACCCGCCTCGGCCCGGCCCAGCGCATCCGCGTGAGCATGGTGATTCCGCAGCGCCCAAGTCGCTGGACCCCAAGCAATAAGGGTTGGGTATAGGGTTTAGGGTTTAGGGTTCCGGGTTTATGGTTTATGGTTTAGTTTAGGATTGAGGGCTTAGGGCTCAAGGTTCACGCTTTGGGGTTTAGGGTTTTTTGGGAGTAGGGTTCAAGACGGTTCGGCTTGGATTGATCGTAGGGTTGAGCCAGGCCCCTCAGGGGCGTAGGGGGAGTGGGGGGGGAAGGGGGGCAGGGCAAGGGGGGGGGAGGGGTAGGGGTGTGGGGGGGGGGGGTGGGGGGTGGGGGGGTTGGGGGGGGGGTTGGGCGGGGGTTGGGGGGGGGGTTTTGGGGGGTGGGGGTTGGGGGGGGGTGGGGGGGGGGGGGGGGGGGGTGGGGGGGGGGGTTGGGGGGGGGGTTGGGGGGGGGGTTGGGGGTGGGGTGGGGGGGGGTTGGGGGGGGGGGTTGGGGGGGGGGGGGTGGGGGTTGGGGGGGTGGGGGGGTGAACCGTCGCTTGCGGACCCCGGTTTGCTTGGGGGGGGTACCCATTTGAGGCAAAAAAAGGGGTCCGAAAAGTGGCTTTGGGTGTGGGGGGAGGATTTGGAGGGGGGTGCCTGTTCTGACAACCTATACACCTCCGGCCCGAGGCCTCGGCGGATTTGGGGTCAGCCCGCACGGTCTGCAAGTGCAGCTGGACGTCGCGAGAGTCTTGGCCAGTAAATAGAGATCAGGTGATTCCGCCCGGACAGTCGTGGGCTGGTGTGGCCTTTGACACGATGTGTGCCACTTCGGGAAACCCTTGGACGAAGAGAAACAGGCCCTTCCAAGATGACGAGCCAAGGATATGATGAAGTTCTCAAAAGGGGGATTTCTTGTCCGCCACTTCTCCGCAGCAATGCGACGCCACTGGCGACAAATCAAAGTAAGCCGAACTGTTGCCCGCCTGGATGGTTCGGCTAGAGGACTACGTTAGAACAGCAAGAGCAGCAACTTTGAGATCCCGTGCATGGATGTGGCAAGCCATCTCTGATGGCGGTCCGACGCTGGAATAGTTTGCAAAGCCGAACGTCACCCGCGCATTGTGGATTTCAGTTGCAAGGCTTCATCCTGGGAGCTTAGGGTCCAAAATGTGAGTTCGCGCTGCCTCTTTTTGAACTTTGTCCTCACGGGGGCCTACAAAGCGGCGGCGCCTGCTTGGTCTGTCTACTCAAACTTGTTTGGATTATGTGGCCTTTTGATCACCGCCCGAGCACGAGGAGGAGTGAGGGCCGCGAAGGCTGTACAGGCCGGTGGACGTGGAAGCCGAAACTCCAAGGCGACGCCCGGTTGGAGCCATTACGCTTCGCTACTAACCTTGTTGGTCTGACCTACTTCCGCCGGGAGCCTGCGATTCAAGACGCGACCATGATTCCTGTGACGGCCGAATAATGACCCCGGAATCTGCGGACGAATGGGTGACGAGAGAGCGGCAGAACGCCCAGAGGCTATCGAGGCGGATGGTGAGGGAGGACAAGAACCAAAACGATTCCAGTCCCTACTGGCACTAGTTCACGACTCAGTGGGGGGGGTTTGGGTTCGGGGGGGGGTTTTGATGCGAGCGCAGTTTCCGCTCTCCTCCATTCTCGATCCGTTTGCTGCGAGGCTTCCGCTAGCTTTCGTCGCACGCAGAAATTTCAATAAAGTGCCGTCCCAGTACCAGAGCCATGTTTATGTTTGTATTGCGAAGCGCACGAATTTTCGGTGGAAATTCGGTTTCTACTGTGGAGGATGACACAAGCTTTGCACAGAGCGGCTGTCAGTGTACTATTGATACACACCTAAACTATGCTGATACAATGCCCTGCGCAGTTGTGTTTCGATAGTGCAAAGCGGGTGCGTGTGCACAGCACTGGATTCTGCCAGTCATGCACAGGTCGGCCCCTGGACCTTCGTTGCCTTGGCGTACCTGTGCTATGGCTTGCCAGTATTGGACTCAGCTTCCCGGATTCCCGCGCACTGGGTAGAACTGGTGGCACGAACAAACCGGCAAAGGAAAGGCGGTAGCGAGCGGCACGACAGAATCATGCTCGATTCCAGACGTTGCTTTGTGTGTGTGTGTGGCAGAGAATGATAGTCAAGCATAGTCAGGCCTCGTTTGCCGATGCAATGTCCATGCTCTGCGAATGCCAGACGATTAAGAACCGCTGCCTGCAGTACGACCAAGTGTGATTTTGCAGTGCACATCCACGCAAGCGCCCAGGTCCTGGCTGGTGGTTTTGCATTGCGGCGTGGCTGGCACAATCTTTGCCGAAGGCCAATCAAGGAAATCAAGCAGGAATGAGGGTTGCCGTGGATCTGAAAGGATCCCAGAGACAACTTCCCAGGCATGAATTCATTTGACCGCGCACTGGCGTCGAGGGCTCCTCAGGTTCACTAGCCCGGAGGTTCCGTGTCAGCACGAGCATTCCGGGAGACACAGCTGAGGGCTAATGATTGGTGCGTTGGCCGACTGCATGTTTGGTAGCGAAATGGACGCGCCTCGCGGCGTCGAGCGATTCCATTATGTTGAGTTAGGTCATGTACAGCCTGTACAGCTAATTTTAATACACTGACCCTGGCAGCCAGCGGCAAGCCCCAATGTTTCCAAGAACAACGTGCGCACAGCGCCAAATGGCTGTCGCGTGCCTCGACATTATAAGCAGCAAAATGCCAAGAGAAGTTGCAAAAAGAAGTCCGGTGGAGTCGCATATCCATCAAGAGCAGGATTCTTTGGACATTGGATGTCATCGTAATCGCCATGCGAGCCGAAAATGCGGCCCCGAAGTGGCATTGAGCATTTCTGAAGGCGTGAAAGTCATCACCTGCGATTTCGCAGGGCCCTCAAGCTTGGTGAAGCAGGCAGATTCTGAATACCGCAAAGGTTCGGCAGATGATGTGGCCACGTGCTTTAAGAAGTCAGTCCTTAGATCGACATGGGTTTGAGAAGTTATAAAACCTTCGCTGGCCAGGCGCGTGGCGCCATGTGCAAGTACATCGTTCAGAAGCGTGTGAAAGACCCTGCCGGGTTGAAGAAGTTCACAGGAGACCGGACGAGGGCCAGTCCCAGACTGTCATTGGTTACGATCGGTGTGGCATGCAGGAGATGCGCAGAACAGGCTGGAGCCCACTTGCCAGACGGTTGTTGAGCGCGCGTGTCTACTTCGGTGAAGCCAAGAGTGATCATGAGTCTGAGTAGAACTTCACTTGTCTCTGAATCGACTACACTATAGTCTTCCCTCAAAAAACTTCACACCTCCAAAGACGTCACAGCTTGTCTCAGGTTTGCGTTTAATGCTGCAAAGTCCAGCGACAGCAAGCTCATGTTCACACGTGGAGGCACCTTGAATTGGTTGCGATGTCGGTTGAACTGGTGGAGTACCCTGTAGCGCTAGCCGCTAGACTCGGAGACCGTGCAGCTGCCTGGTTACTTGATCTGCAGATGTGGCCCAAGGGCACAAGAAGGACGTGGGCATGATGGCGTTAGAATGCAAAGTGACCGATTCTAGCTCTGTTTGTGCCAGTCAGGGCAAAACGTCCCGTCGTGTTGCCCCGCGGGGCAACCACACCTCTTCTTCCAGCCGAGTGCGGAGAGTGTATTGCTTGGATGCAGAAGAATTCCAACAAGTGCTCCGGAACCTCCGTGACGTCAGTGAGGGCAGCTGTGATGGCCAGCCAGTCGGCCGAATGATGGGGATTGTGCCGGACCACTCATCATCTCGCAGCAGGCAAGACGCTTACGCAACTTGGGCAAATGCTGGTGCCACGGCCGCATTCCTCTCTCGATCAAAACGTTTTAGATGGGTCGTATGTAACATGGTACTGCCCCCATTGGACTCACAGTCGCGTGTAGTGCATCTTCGATACCTTCTTCTCGAGCTTTGTACGTGTCAAGCTGCCGCGCAGCACCCTTCCTCACAGACAGTTGCCTGACAAGTCCTCAACAGAAAGACTGAAAGAGGTGCGCAGTTGCGGAAGGGACCACAGCGAACCACAAGAGAGCCTAGAGGCTGCTCTGGCAGGCTAGTAACTAGTACACCAGTCGGATCTGGGGCAGCCTTGACTGTTTCCCAGGAACTCCGTGCACGGAATCTTCTGGAACAGGACTCCAACGACGCCTTGTAGCAAAGGCCGCTTTGTGTGCGTTTTGACGATCGTCTGCTCGTAGCATCTTGAATGCTTTGTGTTGCTGTCAAGTTCAGCGATTTTCCGGCCTTGCAGGTTCGTGCCGTGAGGGCGTTGCTAGCTGGCCTTCGGACATCATCGGTCTTCAGGGCCTCTCAAGGACAGTGGTGCAAGTTTGCCCGAGCTGTCCGAGGTTCTGATGCATTGAGTCACAGATTGATACATGCCCTCCCCTCCCCCCCTTAATTGACCCGAAGCCGAACAGTTGTGCAGGCATGCTGAAGGTTGCACGGCAAGTCTCTGCTGAGTGGTGCCGCCAGGAGCAAAGCCATGACCATGAGACTGCCTTGGACCGCATTTATTTTACACCAAGTGTAGCCTCTGTGGATGGCCGCATCTGCCGATGAGTTTGAATGGTTACATGAGTTTTAGGTGTCAAGGCTGCTGTGCATGACATCGGATGCGGTCTTCCGACAATGATTGTCATGCTATTTTTCTCACCGTCCCATTAACTTGGGCTTAGGACGCAAGCCGTGGTGTGTCAGCTGTTAGTTTCCGTGGCGACCGGGTCCAAATCAGCCACATCTGCCAGTGGCGGGGCTGGTGAAGAGAGTGTGATGCAAGCCCTGGTGCAGGGCACACTAGCAATTACCCGGCAGGTGGCTGGATGGTTCCAAAAGCTGCATAGAATCGTACACGAAATTAGTTCGCTTTAAGATGTGTGGGCACCTTGGTGCTGCTTCACGCAGAAACTGACACTACTTCAGGTTGAAAGCGTTCTTGATGACATGACCATTCTGACACATGGCGGTTGCTTCTTTGAGTGACACTTCCGCCACTCTGAGGGCGGTCTCGAGCTGCCAACGAGCAGCGATGACCAAGCATGATGTAATGTGATTGTTCATTGCGTGTAGCCGTCGTAGCCCATTCAGGAGCAGCTGCAAGATTCTAAAGAGAATTCCCAATCGAAAGTGACAGAACCGAGTGAGCTTGAGGGGTGAATATGGTACACAATTACGGGTCCGGGATGCTCCCGTGGCTTCAGGCTTTGCAACGAGTTGAGGCCATCAGTCTGCTTGAACCCTTCATAGAGCATTTGGAACATTCTCTCTTTAAACTAACCCCACGTACATCTATTGGAGACTTGACCATAGCCACATCTCTGGAAGACCACCGTGACATTCGCCAGCATTGAGCAGGGGTCCAAGCAGTCAGCTGGCCATATGTAGCGAGTCTAGCAGGCATTGCTGGTCAACAGCATGCGACTCAATCCTTGTACAGCGAAGCTAGACGTACTCGTACTCTTGACGGTGTCAATATGAATGCATCGAACAGCTAGACGGGAGCTTGGCGCTTTTTTTCATGCCCAACTCTGAAGCTGCTAGCGACCAAGAAGGAGATTGTCCATCGTGCATGGCGTAGCATGATGTAGCTGGCGTAGCCATTCGGTATCAGCCGCATCTGTGACATGTTACGACTCCCAGCCGCGGTCTCGACATATCGTCTCAAGATTTAAACTTTTGCAGCGAGCGACGTACCAGCTGCAGCGAGATGCGGCAATTAGTACCATTCATCGCGTGAATCTCAACATTATCTGTAGCTTGCATCCTGGTTAGCAGACTGTGATGCCACAATGTTGGTCGTATTTTCGACGATGCCGTACCCATAATGTGGCTGGATGCGTCGGGCAGCTGCGCGGGCGCAACAACGCTCAGCTTTTTGATGCCTGCTCGATTGAGCACCTTGGTGCTTTTTGTGCAAACGCATTGTACCTTTTTCATGCGAAAATGGACTTCCAACACGGCACTTACATTCAATTGCATGCTCAGTCTACAGTGCCTTGACAGTGCTCCGTGTTGATCTCTGTTGCCCTCTGTTCAGGTGCAACAAAGAGGAAAACCGTGGAAGCCGCCTGCGCCCCATCAGTCTCTGCGTTGCTCCCGGGGCTCTCCGGGGGCGTGCTCGAAGAATGAAAAGTGTTCGCATCCTGGGTTTTGGGAGGCACCTGGGTCCAAAAAGCGCAAGCGAACACACAAGTGAGCGGATTGGCAGCATGGCTTGGATGCCCATGGTTGCTCAACTGCCCTGGGCTCTGTGCGTAATTATGGGGCAGCAGTGCTGCTCAGACGGCTTGCCTGATGAAAAAAGAGAGTCCTTCAAGAACCCTTGATTCGAATGAGCAGATGTCGCTGATCCCGTCATTTCGGACGGCAGAGCGTGGATGTCACTGATCCCGTCATTTCGGACGGCAGAGCGTGGTTCTGTGAGTTCTGCTGTGGGCGCTGAGGGCAACTCCCCAACATGCAAACGACCTTCAAATCTTTACTTGGTGTTTCCGCCCACAGTGCGCTTCTCGGCACAAGCGCGCCGGTTGCACTGGCCAGCCACCTCATGGACAGGGGCAGCTTGGCAGCATCTGCTGGCAACTTGTGGGGAGGAGGCGTCAATGACAAAGCTGAAAGCCTGCACCAGCAACAGGCATGTCCGACAGCAGCCGCTCTTCGTCCCCCGGGCGCTGCTCCCGACGCCTCCTAGCCGTGTGACTGTCTGCGCCCTTGCTCCTCGTGTGACAAGGATGGCAACCCCACAGATTCCCAGCTTCCGGACCGAGGAGCTGCCGGAAACTAAGGTGTGCCATCTTAAACCCTATGCTCTGCCTTCTGCTTGGCTCTGCTAACTTGGCCATACTGAGCCGAGGATGGGGTCCTGTTTGGAACCTTCTGGTCAGGCCGAGCTGGGTTTGGCATGTCGGTCTCAGAAGCTTGGAGACTTCTGTCGGGAGCAGAGGACACCCTACGCAGAAAGCTCTTTGACAACGGAGACGACGAGACTCGGCTGCAAGTTTGGACCTGAAGCAGCACAATGATCCCCCGTGGCCTTAATAATAATGTATTAGATGTATATACTAATGTACCATAACAATACAATACAAAAATAAAAGCAAACTAGTGTAGTTATTTGAATCAAGTTTTTGAGCTTCACTGACTCCGCGCCGAGTTCGGCCCTGGAGCGACGGTGCGCGCCCCGGCCTGGCGTGACAGCCGCACAGGCCCCTGGGAATATTTGGGACTTGCTTGGGGGGTGAAGGCTTTTGTTGTGAGAGTCCGGAGAAGTTAGGCAGACACAGCTCTGTCGCTGCTCGTTTCAAATTTCTTGCCTGGACTGTTGGATGCGGACTTAGACGATGAGGCCAACTCGGCACTTGCAGGAAACTACACTTTCTCTTTGCCATACTCCTTTCGCAGTTCTGCTTGCAGCTTGTACGTAGGCAGCTATGTAAAGATTGTAAGGTTTGCCATGTGGTTCTGGTTCCCTGGCAGGTCCCAGCGCCGCTCAAGAGGAGGCTCCGGGCGGGCATCATGGTACGTACTTTCCCATTTTTTCAAATTGCCCGTAACCAGTGCTTTCTTGGTTCCTCCCTCCCCTCGGCGCATGAAAAATGACAGCAAGGCGGACCTGGTCCAGGAGTTGGCCAGAACCCGCAAGCATCTTGAAGAGGACTGGCAGTCAACTACGATGCACCTTGTTTGTCGGTGGGAGCGCCACGAGCGACTCCTGATAAATCGCTCGTTCGGGTTTTTGGTTTGCGTTTTTCGGGGTTGGGAGGGGGTCCCTTTCGCGGAACTTTACTTTTTTAGGATCCGTGACGTGTTCCACAGAATTCCTTCGGAAGAGGGTTTTCCCTAGCATCGAAAGGTTTCATTCCAGCCCTCAGTGCGACAGCGCAAGGCCAAACATTAAACTCCTCAACTCCCCAACCCTCAAGTAACGTTTTGGCTGACCGGGCCTCGGAAGACGTGGACCAAAGATACACGCCGCAGCAAACAGGAGGATAACGGAGGATTACTTGCCAAGCATCGGCACGTAACACACATACTTCCGTGCAATCGGGCGGGCTGTACTTTTCCTGGTCAGTTGCATGTCGAACAGTTCTTCGCACATGTGTGGCCTGAGCAGCTGCTCCGCTCCAGTGCTCAATGTGCCTGTGAAGGAGCGCAGCATGACGCAAAATCTGGTAGTCATGCGCTCGGACGGTGGAGGGCGGAGGAGGAGGAGGCGGAGGTTAGCAGGAAAGAGTGTAGGAAGCGCTGGCAGTTCGACTGTGTTGGGTGCTTTCAGCCTTCCAGCTCGACGTTTGCGTAGACGCATATCTTGTCTTCTTCCAGCCCGCATGTCAAGTCTCGACTGCGAAGGCTGAAAGAACAAGCCTTCGTGAGCAGGCACGCATCACTGAAGCACTGGCGCCTCGTGGCAATCTCCAGGCCTTGCTAAGCTCACCATGTCCTCGGGTAGGTGACCAAGCTTCAATGCGACTTGCAGGCCCGTCTGTCACATCATGACACAACTTAAGTTTAGGGCCGTTCAGGGTTTTGGGTTTAGGATTTAGCCGTGACGCGATTTGGAACAGCACTTTGGGCTGTTCGCATTGGTTTCTCAGGTGATTCTTTCGGGGTTCTTGGTGATTCTCTCGTAGCTGAAAGAGCACGTGCCAGATTTGCACAGGCAGCTCGCAAACAACATGAGCTTGACGATGTGGCTGAGATCTTAGCGCAGTGACTTACTGAAGATGGTTCCCATGGCACAAGCCCAGTTGTGAGAAGTTGTTGACGTTGTTTGCGAAGTTGACTTCAGACAGTCGGACCCGCAGCCTAGTGACAAGCGAGTTCAGCACAACTTCAGGCCGTGCATCAGATGGCCTCACACCTTGCAGAGTCAAAGAAGCGCGAGGCATCAAATTATGTCAACACAGTTCAACTCTGAGGGGTTTGGAGAAGTTCGCAGAAGTTATTGAATTATTGGAGCCCACTGAGCAGGATGCCTTGCGGCTGCAAGTGGAGCGCCTCTCAGCGTCCCTTGGCGTCCTTGAGGCGCAAGGGGGCAATCTTCTGGGGCTTTGACGTTTTGAGAAGGGGGGCGGGGGCATACGCCTAAAGAACATCTTCATTTGGCCCTCAAGTCGAAGGGCTCTGGCCGCCAGCCCACTCCACGCATGCTGTCCAAGCGCAAATCTCAAAAACAAGAACCGGCGCAGTGGCCCCTCGAAGGCATCCATGGCATCGGTCGCGCGGAGCTGCGGCGTGGCCGGGCTCAACCACTGTAGAGCCATTGGGCATCCCAGAAAGTCAGCTGCAAGCAACGCGTCCCCAAGCAAGTTCGAAGGGAATTGTTTTCTTTTGCACCCTGGGGCGCAAACTCGGTTTTTTTGTTCACTTCATTACTCTTGTCCGGGGTTTTGTTCGTTGTCACTCTCTCTCTCTCTCTGTCTCTCTCTGTCTCTCTCTGTCTCTCTCTGTCTCTCTGTCTCTCTGTCTCTCTGTCTCTCTGTCTCTCTGTCTCTCTGTCTCTCTGTCTCTCTGTCTCTCTCTGTCTCTCTCTGTCTCTCTGTCTCTCTGTCTCTCTGTCTCTCTGTCTCTCTGTCTCTCTGTCTCTCTGTCTCTCTGTCTCTCTGTCTCTCTGTCTCTCTGTCTCTCTGTCTCTCTGTCTCTCTGTCTCTCTGTCTCTTTCTTTTCCCTTTCTCGTGTGGGAGTAAGCCGGAGACCTTCCCACTACGCCGAGGCTCGGGGACATGAGCTGGCGCGAGCTGACGTTGCTTTTGAGGCGCACTGACCGGGCTTTTGCTACTTGTGGTAAGGGGCGAGACAATTCATGACGGCATGTTGTGGCATCGGTAGACTAGTATTGCGGTCCCTATCGCGTCATCCACGACGACGAATGAGGATGAAGGTTAGGATGATGTTGACGGTTCGTGACTGTGACATCGACGACCGGCATCAGTGGCGGAATTGGGTCAGTCAAGATGTCAGCATCCGGGCTGGCGTGCCAGCCGAGCGGAATTGGAGTCCCACGGCCATGGTCCACTGCCCAGCAAGTATCAGAGAAGCACCACACCAGGCTCGAGTGCACGGGACCCTCCCACTGATTGGCATGATGATGGGATCTACATTCAATCCTCAATGTAATGGCTCCTCTTTTGGCATTCGAGCGCATAATGTTGCGACTTGCATCTCCTTACTTTACTTCTGTGTACCTTAGATGAATTGCTAGGCTTCCGCACCCACCAGAGAAACCCAGTTTGGGAAACTTAAGAGGATTCGCTGGGCGGGTGTGCGCAAGGGGTACGTAGTCACAACATCAAGACGCATTCCCTTGCGATGGTGGCTGATTGAAGTACCTCCCAGCAAGATGACGATGGCTTCCATGACAACAATGCTGATGATAGTGGCTGTAGATCTGACGGGCGACATCCTATAGTCATTGACCGAAAGGCCACCCTGTTTTCCTATTGTCTGGTTGCGAGAGGCTGTTGCTGCCGAAAGGTCTTAAAGAACATATTATGACTTTGGTACGTGTGCGTACAACCGACAAAAACTCGCCCAGCAGGCTCTCAAAGCTGGCTTGTGCGAGGCCCAGACAAGCTTGTTCGTCATCGGAGCTTGCGCCCAGAATTTCCGGTAAGCCATCCGGTTTGCAGCATCTGGAATGTCTGGGGACCACTTGTGGCAAAGTACTGTTCTGGACATAGCAAAGCTGACGCCCAATTGCCCGACAAACATGAATCAAGAAGCAATGTGCACGTCGCAAGTGCACTAGCAGTCACAGCCATCCTCGAGGTCAGCTGTTCAGACAGAGTCCATAGTTCCTGAGAGAGTGATGGCGCAGGCAGGCTGCTGGTGGAGTGTTTTCAGGGAAAGCCATTGAAACTACTCGGGTCCGTTGATTCGTGGCGGTTTGTCACTAAGACCTTGCCAAACCAATGCCACTATCTTGCCGATCGTCCAGCGGGAACACGGAGTAACCCATGGAGTTTGTTCCCACTTTACACGGACTGGTGGTCCAGGCATCGACGGCACAGACGGACTTGGAAGCACTCACTACCAAGCAGGAGCGAACAAACCGATGGTGTCCTTCCCAGTGCTGCTGGCGCGGCCTGATGCGTCTTGTTCCTGAAAGACGCCAGACCATCGACAGATCCCTCCAGGCCCGCACATCGAGACCCGTTGACAAGTGTAATGGGGCTCCTGCTAGTGTTGCGGTGCCGG